AGCCCACCCTCCTTCCAATATGCATAACCTCGAAAGAAAATAAAAACAAAACTAAACAATAACAACTAAGGTCATAGGCGCAAGAGATGGTGGAGTGACATGGGACGCGGTAAAACCAGATGTATATTTTCTTACAGGATTATATGGGGATTTTAGTTGATGTAGACCTAAAGAGAATATGTTATATTATAGAATCCAATAGTAAAAAAAAGAAGGAAAAATTGGTAGATCGATGTATATTTTTTAAGTCGCTGAAAAGTTAGAAGCACGTACGTTGGGTCTCTCCAGTCTCTCCATCATTTCTAATATCTCACTCTTAAAATCAAATATAATATTACAAAGCACACACATAGGAAAAAACTAAACGAAACACATTCATTCCAGCTCCACACACATAGTTTTACCGATAGAACAACACTTGGATGCTATACTTGCTTTCTAAAAATTCAAGTTGTTATGTTCCACCACTCAGATATGTGGCTCTTTGTTTTTTCGCATCACATAAGCGAAGGATGCTGACATCTAACATCTGGAAAGGCTAGGTGTTGACGTCGTCCCTTGTCGCTGACCTTGGAGCTGTGGCGCCGCGATCGCACTCCTTGTCAACATAGACATATCACCTAAGCGCGAAGTCACACGACCCACTCAAAGCAGAAGACGTCGACGCGGAGGCCACCGACCACGCGGAGGATGACAGCGCCATCCTCCTCATGGACATACGGCTTGAGCTCGCCGGAGAGGAAGTTCAAGGTGTAGTAGGCTAGTAGTTATGTGGAGGGTTGGACACCGATGTGATCGGAGAACCAAGAAAACCTACAGGAGAAGTCGTCCTCACGACGTATCTTTCGACACGTGTTGATTGAATTTTCCTAAGGACGTCTCTGGCAAGGCTCCTGTCCAAGCGGCTCTGGCTCCCGTGCGTTATTATGCTACACTGTAGCACTAGCAAAACATCTCTGGTTCATTCCGTTTTTGCGTATCAAACCGACGGAGACAACAGAGCTGCGTCTATCGAGCTCCTTTGGTTCCGTGCTATAGTGCGCTACGTTGTCGGAGGCGGTGAGAGTCCAGCCAAACGGGCTCTAAGAGCGAAAAGATTAGGATAAAAAGTTATTGGAGATAGTTTTTATACTATACTAAAATATATTAAGATTATATAAGTGGATTTTGGAAAATATTAAAGATAGGCTAAGCAATTGAATTAAGACACCGCGTGTACACGACGGAGTCACGCCAGGGCGGGGTAGTAGTTGACCATGGATGGAGCAGGCAGGAGACAGACATGTTAGCGGGCCGAGGGAGTGATGGGAAGCGGGGATCGGACTCGGGATTGACGGGTGAGGTCTGAGGTCACCTCGCCTTGTCTAGTTTCAAAAAGTTTTTCTAAAAAGTGTTATAGTAGCTATCACAGTGAATCTTGTGATACGTGCATGGAGTATTAAATATAGACGAAAAAAAACTAATTACACAGTTTTGTGGAAAATCGCGAGACAAACGTTTTGAGTCTAATTAATCCATAATTGAACATTAATTATCAAATAAAAACCAAAATGCTACAGTAGCTGAACTCTTAAATTTCGCGGAACTAAACGAGGCTGAAGACAGACAGCAGAGCGGGTGGGGTGGGATCCAGTGCAGTCCAGTTCCAGTCCAGCCAGCCGCCTAGGCGGCTTCTCCGCTCGGTCAGGTAGCCAGGTAGAGGTAGGCCTCACATCACATCACAGCACAGGTCCCCTCCTCTCTGACGGAGATCGGAGGAAGAAGAAGAGGAAGTGCGAGAGAGCAAGGGGGGAGGAAGCGGGCGTGGAAGGAGATTAAGCAAGGAGGAAGGAATGGCTGGGCGGCGCGCGGAGGAGGAGTACGACTACCTGTTCAAGGTGGTGCTGATCGGGGACTCGGGCGTCGGCAAGTCCAACCTCCTCTCCCGCTTCACCCGCAACGAGTTCTGCCTCGAGTCCAAGTCCACCATCGGCGTCGAGTTCGCCACACGAACACTCCATGTCAGTCACTCATTCAATCCCCTCTTCCTCTCTATTGTTCTACTACTAATGTGCTGCATCAGATATTCAGATCAGATCTCCGATGATCCTCTCCTCTCTATACACCAGACCCCACCCAGATCCACCCTCCCTCCATTCTTGTTAAAGGTCCTGTTTTTTTTTACAATTTATGGACCAATTAGTATCTCTATTACTAAACTGGCTGCTTCCTTGCCTGTAATTCGTTCGTTCGTTCGTCTATTCCATCACACTGTCAGCTACCTAGCTTGCTGGATGCTGGATCTGCGCGCGCTACCTTTCCAATTAATGACCCATTCTTCTCAGTTCTCACCATCCATCCATTCCGTAGCTACCTGAGCTCAAACAAATTAAAAGGCAAACAGTTGGGCAAGCTAAAAAAAGTTACTGTCTTTCCTGCTAAGCAAAGCAAAGGCAAAGCAACAACGAGTGGCCTCGATTGAATTCAAGTCGCACTGCACATGGGATGGGTGGTAGCAGATCCGCACGTGAGTCGTCTCCAGCTCAGCTCCGCCTCCGCCGGTGCCTCACGCCACGCCGCGCTCTCAGCTCATCCCATTGTTGCATTATGTGCATGATGGATGATGATTCATGTCAGTATCATATAGTCATCGTCAACCAGCACCACCACTAAGTGGGGTACACTATTTTACTTGTGGATAAACGTTAGCTTCAACATAGCCAGTGTCGCTGTCAGCTCCGTAAGCAAGTGGCAACTGTGATCTGTGCTGTGCCCCTAGTGCAGAGTTAGCTAACTACCCTCCTGCCCAACTACCCTCCATGCCCACCAGCCATAGAATGAGTATGGGCAGGTGCCTACCAGACTGAGCTCAGCTGTTTTATCTTGCTTGCTTGAGACTGGAAGACTTCCTGCTGTAAGCATCAGCAAGCTGCTCATTGTCGAAACTACAACTCTTGTACAGCGACATTCTCAGTTAACCATACCTGTTCAACTGCGAATTTTGCCTTCAGCTGCAGCCTCCAGATCAAGACCCTTTCCGAATTAAGGGCGCATTCTGCATTTTTCAGACAGTTGCCAGTTAGTGGACCTGATATAACTAACCTAATCTGCTTCCCTGTTGTTCCTAAAAAAAAGTTCTGTATATATCTAATTTTGCCTGTCTTGCTCTCTATCGCAATATTTTCTGTCAATGTGTAAGCAGTCCAACTACAGACACTAATCCTCCAGTCCCTCACCTGTGCTGACTTGATAATATTGTAGGTTGAGGGCAAGATCATCAAGGCGCAGATCTGGGACACGGCAGGCCAAGAGAGGTACCGAGCAATCACAAGCGCCTACTACCGTGGGGCGCTTGGTGCGGTCCTGGTCTACGATGTGAGCAAACCCACCACCTTCGAGAACATCAGTCGGTGGCTCAAGGAGCTACGCGACCACGCCGACTCCAACATCAGAATCATGCTCGTCGGCAACAAGACCGACCTGAGGCACCTCCGGGCTGTCGCCACTGATGACGCACAGAGCTTCGCCGAGGCAGAAGGTCTATCCTACATTGAGACGTCCGCGCTGGAGGCAACCAACGTGGAGGAGGCATTCCAGCTGATCCTGGGCGACATTTACCGGGCCATCAGCAAGAAGCCTGTGGCCTCAGATGAAGCCGGCCAGGGCGCTGCTGGAGGCGTCAAGGAAGGTAAGACCATCAATGTGGCGACGGGTGGTGATGCCACTGCTGAGAAGAAGCAATGCTGCTCAGCTTAGAACCCATGGTGATCTCGTTCAGTGGCGTATGTGTTGTTGTGATGGTTGTTTTTTCTTTTCTTTCAGTCCAAAGTTTGTTGATTCATTTTGTCAGATAGTACCTTCGTTGGACCTCATGTTCACATATATTCTCTAAAGCAAGCAGTTATATATGATTATACCATCACCAAGTCAATTGTCTTCTAGTACCAACAAGCCTACATATATTCTCTAATTGCATTCTCTAATTGAGATCTGCATTCCAAAATTCAAGCACAGAATTGTCTGAAGACAGAGAGAAGCTCCGGCTGACAAAAAGATGAGGTAGATGACCTTAATCATCATGTTCAACAATCAAAATAACCAGCACTTTACACCGGTTATCATTCAATTAACTGCCAATTTAAAGATCGACTGATCACTGATGGTACAATTTGCTAGGTTATACAAATGTGGCAATTAATGCTGATCTGTATAAGCCAGAGCTCACACCATATATCATGCAATTAACTGCAAGTTTTAAGATTAACTGATGGTACACTTTGCTAGATAATAATAATACAGACTGTGGCAATTTATGCTAATCTGTATAACGATGAATATCTGACGCTGAAATGACACTATTATAGTATCTTAGTATTCTCCATTCCACTCAGTGTCTCCTCCAATATAATCTTGATTGGACAACATCCTGCGGCATCCATCTAACCACAAGTCAAATTTAAGTGCCCCCTGAGCCCTGACTACGATGAGCAGCAGCTGCTCTTCTGCTGTATTGGCTGCCCTTTCATGTGAACATGGACGGTGGGTCTCCTCTCCACGGTTGGTTGGGTTGCCATCCTGCAGGAGTCGCACGGCATCAATAGTAATTTCAATCAGTCAGGACCCTCAGTCTAAAATCCAACTCAGAACAGCACAAAAAGGAGTTTTTTTAATAAGATTGCACAAAAAGGAGTTATATCACCGATACAACTGTCACATGGGGAGCATGCACACTCCATATTACTAGAGCACCGAAAAGGATCATAAAGCCACAAAAATTGCACAACAATCTACCCACAGCACTTGGAAAAGCTAACATTAATGTCAAGAAGATGTCCTGAATTATCTAACTAGAAAAGAATTCAAAGTTTAAAAACTTGAGTCTCAAGTAGTTCAAAAGGAAAGGCACATGTGAAATTGTTGGAAAAGCTTCATCATTTGGCTGGTTAGCAATATGTGTAATGTAACTTCACCTAAGGAAATATGTAATCAAGTAAAGAGTGGAAGAGCCAAAAAAAAAGCACTCAGTTGTGCATAATTTTCCTCCAAAGAAAATGCATTAAGAAACAGTCAGAAATCACTAACAGAGTTTTATGAAGCTTTCATTCCTGCGGCATGCAGAAAGTTCAGCAATGTTACAGTGTCGAGCTTAGTAGATAAATGGGAACAAAATGGCTTCTAAAAAAGTTTATTTTTTTGCTTACCTTTTCTTGATTTCTGATGACATGGTTAGGAAAGCTTCCTCCACATTGATGGATTCCTTTGCACTTGTCTCGATAAAGGGAATTCCTAACGAATCTGCAAAAGCCTGCAATTGATTTGATTGTCAGGTTTAGGAAGAACATATAAACATGGACATCTAATTATCTATCGAGATTCGAGAATAAAATAGAATCACAGTGACTACTGTAATTTTTCATTTTTTTCCTTGAATACACAATAGAGCTGTGCATCATTGCATCAAGAAGAAGAAATGTATGAATACGACACACTCACACCACACCCACCCACCCATACACACCCTCAGTTAAGCATACATGTCTTTGGATCAAAACAAATCACTGTATTTTCATAACAAATAGAGACACATTCCTCCCTTCATTGTGTTCATTCTCGTTTGCTACTTGTAAAAGTTGTCTTAGATAGCTGTTAGCCAGCATCAGAATTACGGCTAGTATTTTAAAGAGAAGCATAAGAAAAAGGACCTTTACCTTTGCCTTTTCAGTGTCAACAACCTTACTGTCAACCAAATCACACTTGTTCCCAACTAGAAGCTTGCACACGTTGTCACTGGCATACCTATCAATCTCACTCAACCACTGCTTGATGTTATTGAAGCTCTCCATGTCTGTCACGTCATACACGATCTGAAAAGAGCATTGTACAATATTAAGTCCATACCAAGACTGGCACATTGTGTAAGGTCAAAAAGGGAAATTAACCACTTCAGTCTAATAACTAAAAAGAGTGATCTGCAAATCTATTCAAGCCATCCTAGTTCACTGTATTACACTGAATAAGTGAAACAGGAAAGCTGAAAATGATTGTGTAAATAGAGATCAGCATGAGCTGTAAATGACGAATTAAGAGGAATTACGATGATTCCATGAGCTCCTCGGTAGTAACTGCTTGTAATTGTCCTGAACCTTTCCTGGCCTGCTGTGTCCCACTGAACAGGAAACACCGACATCATTATCAGCAACTGGTGGTTGAACAAACATGAATAGATTTTGTAAAGCAATGTGTGAGCTAACACATCAGCGTCACCAAATAATTAGCAATCAATACCCCAATTTCCAGTTTCTAGCCACACTCCATCATGAGCAATCTAAGTACCAAAGCTATCTGATGTAAACCATTAGTATTTAGAAAACTGCTACCTGGCATGTACGCTTATCTATCCTAAATCATGTGACGTACTCAAATTATATGAGATGAGTAGATATGAGGATCAGCCTAATCATCATACAAAACAGTTCCTGTTGGAAAAGAAACCTGAGATATGTCCATTAAGGATAATGGGATTTTGCTGGTGCGTGACTACTGATGCTAATAAAGTACCACCAAAGACTACTTTCTGTCTTCTTTTCCGTGGCCAATCTCCTACCAAGAAAAATCAGGTCAATTGCACGCCAATAGTTCTAAGATTTCCTATACATCACAGCCCTACAAACACACCATCCCCCGTTATTATGGCCTTGTGTTATTTCTACATCCAAATTGCGTTTGAACAAATTATGAGGATAATAAGTGAAGGAACAACAGAATGCATCAAGTTGCATTTGAACAGTTCCTACATCCAAATTGCCTTTGAACAAATTACGCGCAGGATAATAAGTAAAGGCATGACAGAATGCATCAAGTTGCGCTTGAACAATGCTTCGAGGCAATTGATTATGATCTAGTATGATGTAGAAAACCACATATTCTGGTACCACAGGACATGAATGAATCCAATTGTCTATGGCAAAAATAAATAAAAGTGTGTGAATGAATGAGCTTACAATCTGTTGCTTGACAGTCTTTCCATCGAGGTCGACAGTGCGGATTTTCTGAAAAGCAGGGCATTCGCAAGAACAAAAAGGGGGTTAATAAAGTTGCGCGAGACGATCGCAGTTAGTTGATGATCCAGGAATAATGAGTAGAGGCGTAGAGCAGTATATGTAGTAAGGACAAAGAGAGAGGGTCTACTGACGAAATCAACGCCGATGGTACTGATGTAGGTGTCGACGAACGAATCGTCCTGTGTATACATGGATCAAAATCAAAGGAAGCCGCTTTTCTCAGGAGCAGAAGCAATCGCGTACGGCGTACCCAATCAGTAATTCGCAGGAACGAAACGGAAATCTGAGGAGGGAAGCTTACAGCGAACCGGAGGAGGAGGCAGGACTTGCCGACGGAGGAGTCGCCGATGATGAGCAGCTTGAAGAGGTAGTCGCTGCAACAGGAGGCGAACTGTTTATTTATCCCAGGACGAGCAAAGAAAAGAAAAGAAAGGGTTGGACGGCAGAGAAGGCGGGACTTACTACTCGATGCCGCTGGCCATGGCGGCCTCGATTCGACGATGATGGTTGATGGAGTTTGGATGTGGGAGATGAAGAAGGGGAGGGGACGGGAGGTTTCTTTTTTGTTGTTGTTTGATGAGTTTGACACAAGCGCGGAAGAAAGAAGGCAAGGGAGGGGAGAAGCGAAGCAAAGGAGGAAAGGGGGCAAGCCTGCAGCTTTTCTTCCTCCGCTCGCCACGGCCACGGGTCCTCGGACGTCGGGTCAGCGGAGTTGACCACCCGCACCCGCCGGCCGCCACTGCGCAAGGCCTTGATACACTGCTGTAAAGGATGGAAACATGTGCTATTAGTAAACTATTTATGTTCAGGCCTAGTGTCTCAGCACATGCTTATACGATGCAAGAACATGCATGCTCTACCACTCGAAACTCCAAGAAAACTAGGAACATGCCACTGTCAAGTGTCAACCATTATATTGCACAACGGGGATATAAGGCAATGGGGGTAACAAACAATACATGTCTCCCCATCTCTGTTTCAACCAACTGAACAACTGGTGACAGAGTTTCTCTACAGGTCTACAGAAGTGCACTCAACCAAAGAACCTCAAATGAATATAGAGTGAAGGCATTGCTTACGACTGTATGTAGTATATATACACATCATGTGTGTTACGGAGCTCAGAAATAGAAAAATAAATAAATAAAAAGGCTCACATTGAACTAAAAAGAGACTCTCAGAGACTGTCCACATCTGTTGAATCCTCCATTCCCACATAGGCCATGTTTAGTTCCCAAAAAATTTCACCTCAAAAGTGTCACATCGAATCTTGCGGCACATGCATGGAGTACTAAATGTAGACGAAAAAAAAATTAATTGCACAGTTAGGTGAGAAATCGCGAGACAAAACTTTCGAACCTAATTAGTCCATAATTAGACACTAATTGATAAATACAAACGAAAGTAGTACAGTAGCCAAACCCAAAAATTTTCGCGAACTAAACGCGCCCATAGTTTTGCAGTGACCTGGGAACAGGTGGAAAATCGACGCCCATGACACCCTTCAGTATGTGAACAACCTGCCCCATCATCGGCCTGTGATCTTCAGCATCCTGAATGCACCAGCATGCGACTCTACAGGCTCTCTTTAGCTGCTCCTCATCAGCATCGCCCTCCAGCCTACTATCTAACAGACACATGACATCTCCTTCACTCACCTTAACTGCAGCATAGGTTGGAAAGTAAGTGAACATCCCTTCCTTGATTTTCTCCGAATTCCTTAACCCTGATACGATTTCTAGAAGCGTCATTCCATAGCTGTAAACTTCAGCCTTGTGTGTAATTGGTAGCCCTGAGATCCACTCCAGCGCGAGGTACCCGATGGTCCCTCGCATTGTCGTCAGGGCCCTGCTGAAATCTCGACCAAGAAGCTTTGCCATCCCAAAATCTGCGATCTTAGGACAGAGATCTGCGTCAAGAAGTACATTATCTGGCTTCATGTCACAGTGCACAATACAATCCTTGCATCCCTCATGCAGATAAGCCAAGCCGCGTGCAATTCCAAGAGCGACCGAGTACCACTGCTCCCAGCTTAGGTTAGAGGATCTCCTGGAGAATAGGTGGCTACTCAAAGAACCATTTGGCATATATTCATACACCAGGAACCTTCCACTGTATTTGGCGCAAAACCCAAGTAGACGAACAATATTGACATGCTGAATCATACCTATGGTCTGCACCTCTGCTCGGAATTGTTTGTCTTCCTGTCTCAGGCATTTTAGCTTCTTGACAGCCACTACAGTGCAGTCTGGCAACACCCCTTTGAAAACGCAGCCAAAGCCTCCTTCTCCAAGTTTCTCGGAGAATGTTTTGGTTGATTTCCTTATTTGTACAAATGAGAATACCATGAGACTTCCATTGCCACCAATTGTTGTAGCCTTGAAAAGCTTTCTTCTGCATCTCAATAAAAGAATCAAACTAACAGCAAATACGGTTATCACACCAATCGCAGATCCAAGAACCACTCTTCTCCTGAAAGAAAACAGTGGAGCAGTTCTAGAACCTGACTGTTGGTTGGTTGCTATGCGTATGTACATATGGTTGCCATTTGGACCGCAGTCAAGCACTACTGTATTCCGCAGCTCCCAAAACCACAGTAAGCAACTTGTATTGTAAGCAAAGGCAGTACAGGTACAGTTCCTTAAGCAAGAGGATTGACACTCACTCATGTTTGCAGCTTCCAACTTCAAAGCATTCTGAGGATATGCATGGATGCCATCTATTGGATGAAACGTCACTTCAACATTCCCACAGTTTAGAGGGACCTTTCTTGAACAACCAGCAGCAATCCATGCACTGGTCGATGGTGGATCAAAACCAACAGGGCATACACAAGAGCCTGATGTTGTGCAGAGGCCGTAAGGTCCACAGTATGAATCAAAGTTGCATAAGCTATCTGGGGCAGACCATAAAATAGAATTGCATTCCCCCTGCTTAGCAAATCTAATAAACCCGGAACTATTTAACTGTATGTATGTATGTATGTATGTGCCTCATTGAATGTTAGCGCATAGTCTCCGTCTTCATGAATGTCCATCCATCCAGGGAAGGTACCAGCAAACGTCGGACCATCGGGGTTCTGCTGGATAATAAAACCTCTCCTTCTAGTTGCATCGAGTGACAGTGTATATATAAGTGAGTCCCCGCCCAAAAAATAGGAATAGGAATTAATAGCAAGGGTAGCATTCTCGCCAGTTATCCTATTGAATCCCAGGTATCGTCCAGGGAGCAGTGTCGTAGCTGGGAAATCGAAACTCTGCCAGATCATCATGGAACTGTTTTCTTTGTCTCTTACCACAAGATTTCCATTGTCAAGAAGCACTGCAACAGCAGAGATAGAAGCAGTCGTCATGTAGGATGATGAGGACCGAGCCAAATAACCATTGCCCGTGATCTGTAGCAATCCTTCCTCTGAGACTGAGAGGTTATAATATGGTGATGAGAAATAAGTACCAGGATCATCAGTATCCAGATGAGGTTGCCAAACTGGAATATAATCAGATTTGCAAGGTGACGACGAGTTAGCAAACCAGATGCCCAGACCACAGAAGGAATAAGTATCAGCTTGAGGGTTGGTGCAGTCATAACCCAACTTGAAGGCGCCATTTTTGGAGACTAAACTCCGTTTAGCATTCAGGATTTGTCCTGGAAGGAGGTTTTCTGTTGCACATACAAGGCTGATCATCAGGGAGGGAAGTAGTAAAACGAAGGGGGATGGGAACAAGGACATCCAATCGATTGCTTTCTCCATTTCAGGGATACTCCTTCCTTGGCAGGCAGGCAACCGAATGACCAAATCACCGATGCATATATCTGCAAACCAAGTAAATGCCCTGCTCATAAGTGAAAGACTCAAGAGCGTGGGTGCCTATTTTCTCGGGTCAAATATGGTGGCAGTGAGCCAGTGAGTGACATATGGGCTGTTTCAGACACACACGGCACAGAAAAAGACGTGAGAGTCCGGCATTACCTTATGATGGCAGTAGAAACCAGGAAGTCAAAGCTCGAGGCATTTCACCGAACACCTTCCGCTCGCTCGTTCAGCTTCCCGGCGCTTCTCGTCTGACTGACTGACGCCGCTGCCAGTAAACCATACCAACCAGTGAACCATCTCGCCTGTTTTTTTTTTTTTTGGTCATCTTCTGTGGCCAGCCGGCATCCATGCAGCCGCCAGCACCAGCAGGCCACGGCGCCCTGTTTGAGCTGACAGCTGGCTAGCTGAGCGTGATGCCTTGCCGTGTCGGGGAGCTGAGCTGAGAGACGCCAAACGGAATGGCGAAAGCGACCGGCCGCGCGGCGGGCAGCAGGAGCTGCATCGAGAGGCTGCCCGCGCCCCGCGCCCCGCGCCCAATCCTCTTCGGACCTAATCCCCTCCGCCTCCTCCCCTTCAACCCCCACGTCTCTCTCGCCGAAGGCTCCGGCCTTGGCCTCGGCCTCGGGAGCTAGTGCTGGTGCTGGTGCTGGTGCTGGATCGACACAATGGCGCCGCTCCACGCCGCGCTGCCGCCGCCCTCCGCAGCCGTTCACCACCACGCGGCAGCCCCGCCTGTCTTCCTCGCCCGCTCGCCGTACCACCCCCGCAGGGCGGCGGCCTCCTGCTCGCTCGCCACCGCCGCTTCCTCGTCGAGAAAAGGTAATCTTTCTTCTCCTCTCTTCGGCACAGCGATGATGATCACTACATATATATAGACAAGAAGAAGGGAACTTGATGTCTGATTTCTTGCCTCGTCGCGCCGCCCAGCGTTCCTGTCATGCCCGCCGGACCACTGGATCGCGGCTGCGCCGCCGCGCGCCATCCCCTCCTCGTCGTCGTCCCCGGCGCTCATCGCGTCCGTGCAGGACCTGAACGACTTCATCTACAGCGGCCCGCTGGTGGACAGGATCGGCTACACCGATGAGAAGATCGCCGAGTCCATCGACCGCTGGCTTCTCGCCGGGGCTCGGTTGGCGCGCCTCTTCCGCCTCAACGAGCTCCAGCTGTCGGAGGCCGAGAAGGCCCGGATATACCACTTCTACATCCCCGTCTTCCTCTGGTGCGAGGACCAGGTCATGGAGCACAGAGCCAAGTACAACGACGGTGATGACATCCCACCATTGGTGGTACGCACTCTACCTCGTGTCCTCATCAAAATTTGCCTTTTTTTCCTCTCATGTCAGCTATTACAAGTTAGAACTATCGAGCTTATCAGAGCAGCAACAACGTAACGTAGGCAGCATCAAACGTTGGCCTCAACAAAAAAGCTACAGACTACAGTCCATGTAGAAACAGATAAATTGAGGGCAGTGGCAAACGCAGGCAACAACTTCTACCTTTATGGCGGTCCCACCGCTCTCTCCTTTCTCTGTCTCCCATGCTTCAGCTTTGCGAAACCACCGTTTCAGATGATATGCATGGCTGGCTGGTTGATGCAGACGTGGAGCTTGGGGTGGGGCAGAAGTCCAGCGTGGTGCGTTGGGCCTGGCCTCAGCACACATTTCTGTCACACAACTTTGTCCTTTACTAGTGAGGATAGAATCCAAAGGGCTCATATCATGTTCCACTATCCGTGCACAAGAGAACATGTTCTTCTGAATTATGCGTCCACCACACACATGACACACTGGATGCTGCAAAATGTATACATCTAATGAAAAAAGAGCATATACTGTCCACGAGACGTACTTAATAATGAAGAAATGTACGTCTGATCCCACACCTGATATATGGATCGAGAAAATCACTAAAGGAGATATTTTATACAAAACAAGATGAGATGAGAAGTCTGATTACAAAGTTTACAAGAATGAACAGCTTAGCAATTTCAGTTCACATTTGATAAATTAGTCATCTTTATATGTAACGCAGATTGGGGTCAGCGCTCCCCAAGGAAGTGGAAAGACGACCCTTGTCTTCGCACTTGATTATCTTTTTCGGGTTGCTGGTAGGTGAGTTCTTCTTATCGAAACTGATCATAGTGTGTCCGTTTGCTTGTATGAATTGGATCTAAGAGCCAAACTTCTGTGTGACACAGGAATTCTGTCACATTGTCTATAGATGACTTCTATTTGACAGCAAAAGAACAGGTGTGAAGCTTCTAGTAAATACGGAAAAAATGTCGGCCATATATTCAGAGACAGTCTTCTGTTTTTTCGTGAGAGCAAGTGTTGAAATAGAAGACACTTATGTTTTTTTTCTTATGTCCAGAATGAACTGAGGGACAGAAATCCTGGAAATGCTCTTTTAGAGGTACAAGCTCCCTCACTCCAGTAGGCTGCTAGGCTGTGCTTTACTTTGAATTTTGTAAGAGAAGCTGAACTGGGAATTACTGACGAAAACTTTCCAGCTCCGTGGAAACGCTGGAAGCCACGATCTCCAATTCTCAGTTGAAACACTTGAGTCATTAATCAAACTAACAAAAGAAGGTACCAGTTCAGACAAGTATTTCAACCTTCTTCGAGCTATTTCTGTTTCTTCTCGACGATTTGTTCATAGGGCTTCTCTTCTTTGCCTTTTTGGAAATTGTTATAATGTTTTGCATCCTTGTAAAATAGATTTTAGTGAACTGACAGTTGTTTTCACAACATTCTAGGTATGAAGATGAAGGTTCCACGGTATGACAAGGTAAAAGGTTGCAGTTAATGTTCCTCTAGCTGATGTTTATAGCTGATCAGCTGCATGATACATGCCATGTCCATGTAGTCTGCTTTTGGGGGAAGGGGTGACCGGGCTGATCCTTCTGTATGGCCAGAGGTTGAAGGACCGTTAGAGGTAATATAATATTTAGTCGAGGAGCATTAGTTTGAGAAATATGTGATTCTCAACTTATAGCGTATTTTCTTTTATGTCCTAGGTTGTTCTGTTTGAAGGATGGATGCTTGGATTTAAACCTCTTCCAAATGAAGATGTGAAAAAAGTGGATCCACAGGCAAGTTTCTTATCTGATTTTGTTGTTTTTGTTTATTTTACCTGCAGTAATAGTATGACACTAATTTTGTGATCTTTCAGCTTGAGGTTGTTAACAAGAACCTTGAAGCATACTATGGTGCTTGGGACAGGTTCATCCAATCATGGATTGTTATTAAAATAAGAGAACCCAGTTGTGTATACCAGTGGAGGCTGCAGGTCATTACTCGAATAATCTGACATAGTGGCGCTGTTGAACTCATAACAAATCATGAGTTGAAGTTTCTGAGTTTGGTATTTGGATTTGCAGGCAGAGGTAGCTATGAGAGCAGATGGAAAACCTGGAATGTCTGATGAGGAGGTGTGTTGTCTGACAAAACTATTCACTCCTTAGAATAACCCCTCTGTTATCGTAGTAACGTTCTTTGTTGGAGCCTTACTGATGGTTGTGTGATGTTGTTTCTTCGGTAAATTATTTTATGCGACATTCATTATATCTACACATTTATCCAGCGACTAACTTTAGTTTTTCTTCCAGAGCTATTGATAATCTCTACAGAACTATAACAGTGGTAATTCTTGCAGGTTATGGATTTTGTATCACGCTATCTACCAGCATACCAAGCATATTTGCCCACACTATACAAAGAGGGACCAAATGGTTCGAATCCAGACAATCTGCTGGTCATCGACATAGATGAAAATAGGAATCCTATTTGTGGTGGATCATGGGATATCGCATGTTTGTGAAACTATTTTTATGCCCATCAAACACCACTGGCCTCTTGTTCCCCACACTCTAGTTTAAATCTGTGAATTTCATGTAAATTGCTGTCTACTAAAGGGAATCAGCATTCTGTTTTTGCTCCCCTGTTACCCAATTGTAAATATACGGCCTATGCTTGGCCTGCATTTTAAGTCAGTGACTCAATTTCAGCATGTAAATAAATTTCGCTCCTGTCTGGTGAGGTACTCCCTCCATTCACAAAGCTTAAGCACTTTTTAATCTGGCATGGTTTTTAACTTAACTTTGACCATAAGTTTCTTATGATATATTGTTACTAATTACAAAAATCGCATCGTATAATTAGACCTCGGGAGGGGCATGTGTCCTCTGTAATTCTGTAGTGAGATGTGTGTTTCTGAATTTGCAAAGTCTGGATACGAGTAGTAAATAAAGTTTGGAGCACAAGGGTCAGCAGATCAGGTAAATTTCTCCATAGATACTGTACATGTTTGTAGGAATTCAGAGAGAATAGTAAGAAGCATGTCATTGAGAATGTTAAGACAGGTCTCCCTGCTTTCCAAATGGAGTCCACATCCACAATGAAGGACGAAGCTGTGGGCCTATATCCCAAGCTCAAAACCTAGCAAAGCAAATCTCTGCATGTGGCAGCAGTAGCATCTGCAGCGAAATTTCAGTTGATCATAGCAATCTGTCTAGCCTGGGAACAATGGTGTGGGAAAAAAGAAAGACAATGGCTTATATAGTCTCGGCTTGTTTCAGCTTATTATCTCTCACAGAACACTATTGAATCAGGCAAAACCAGCTGAAATTCTTCCCAGCCGAACACCCTGAACATCTTTGACAAGTTTTCCTGCTAAAAACAGCACCGGCTCACGCGTCCTCCGCTTTTCGGCTCACGGGTCGCTGAATTGCTCGTCCTGCTCGCTCGCTGACTTCCACTCAACTGCTCGCCTGGCCTGCTGCTGCTGCTGCTTCAATCAATCCACAGAGTAGGGGACGTCGGCTCGCTCAAGCCTGCTGGAAGCTCGGCCCCTTCCGCTCGCTGCTAGCTGGCTGCACAGATCTTTCCTCCCAAGGTTCCTCTTCCTCCCGTCGAATCGAATTCTTCCTCAAATTCCGAGTCTTTGGCCGCCCGGAGCTGCTCCGTCCGGTCCGGGTTCGTCAAGATCGAGGCAGGCTCGGCAGCGAAGCGCTTTAGGGTTCCCGCGCGCGCCCTGTGATGGTCGGGAATGGCGCTTAAGGCCACGGCACAGGGCGCCGCGGAGGCGGCCGTAGCGGCCGTCGGCCGGGGCTACGACGTCGTCTCCGACGTCCGCCTCAAGTACTGCAAGGGCAAGCTCGCGGACCCTGACGCGCGCCTCATTGACGTCTCCCGCGATGAGATCCAGGACGTCCTGCTCCCCGGCGGGATCAGGGTCGCCGCCGTCCCCAAGTCCATCAAGTGCGACAAGGGCGAGCGCACGCGGTTCCGCTCCGACGTCCTCTCCTTTCAGCAGGTGCTACTGTACCCGTTGGTTTTGATTTTGGTTTGATTCTTCTAAAGCGTTGAACATACTGCTGTCATTGCTTTGGTTCATGGATGGATGGCCACTACTTTGTTCTGAACCAACCAAGAAATGTACCTTTGTTTTTTTGGACAGATGTCAGAGCTGTTCAACCGGGAGCTATCGTTGACTGGGAAAATTCCCTCCGGCATGTTCAATAGCATGTTTGATTTTTCCGGGTGCTGGCAGAAAGATGCAGCTAACACCAAGTCACTTGCTTTTGATGGTTGGTACATTTCACTATATACCGTTGCGCTATCAAAATTGCGGATCCTACTGAGTGATCATGTTACTCAGGCAGTTCCTTCAACCTGGGACCCTGCTGCTTTGGCAAGGTTAGATGCTTACTCGGTTCTCTTATGATGATGATGATGATGATGCCATAAGACCATATTGTGATTGTGTTTAGGACCCTACCTATCCCTCCATTCATATATCGCTTTTGTCCTTTGGAGTTTCTCAGCTAAATGTTTTATTGTATAAGTACACATTGTAAAGGAATATACTAGTTATATTGCACCTGAAACTTTGATTCTTGCTGCTCTCTTTCCAGGTTTATTGAAAAGTTTGGAACGCACATAGTTGTTGGTGTGAAAATGGGAGGGAAAGATGTTATCTATTTGAAACAACAACATTCATCAAGCTTGCAACCAGCTGCTGTCCAAAAACGACTCAAGGACATGTCGGACAGGAGATTTCTGGATGCAAACGGACAGTATGACATGAATAACAAGGATGTGTATGGGAAGGACAAGGTACTCTCCTACTCTGCATTTTGTTGTTGTAGTTTTGATAAATGATTGTTAAGTTTGTGAAAACTGCATGATGCAATGTTTCCTGTCTTTCAAAGACGAGTCTTCAATAATTTGATGTAATGTCCTGTGCAGCAAGATGCAAGAGACCAACGGCTAAGATTTGTGGAATCAAGCCCATCAAGTTCATCCTGTACGAAGGAGGTATTGAGTTTTTTCTTTTCTTTTCTTTTCTAGGAAGTATGCTTATCACTTTTCCTATTCATATAACTCCTTTCTTGGTATTTCAGGACTTGGTGATGGTGGTTAAGCGGAGGGGTGGAAAGGAATGGGACAAAGATATGCCTCACAGTGATTGGATAAACACTGTTCAATCAGAACCTGATGTTATCTCAATGTCCTTTCTACCTATTACTTCGTTGTTGAATGGAGTACCTGGCTGTGGGTTTCTGAATCATGCAATTAATCTATACCTACGCTGTAAGTTTGTCTTTCACTTTCCATTCACGTGACAGAGCATCCCTTTGTTAATTCATTTTCTAAACAGCTAGCCACTCAAGCCCATTAATTAATTTTATCAAGTTGCTAGTATTCGGCGCAATCTAGATGCTATTAATTGAGGAGGCCTAGACTATTGGCAATGTATATGGTTGTATGTTATGCATGCTTTCCGATCCTTGGACTGCCTTGTTGTTTAGAGCTACTGCCTGCTTAGTATGTCACTTGATGCTTGGTATAGCTGGAAAGTTATGACATTGCATGCCTTCCTTGATGCTTAAAAGACTGTAAATGTCTGCGAAACGAAAGAAAACCATTGAATCTAATAAGCTGCACAGGAATTTGCTACATAACATGTTGACTTGTCTAGTAGGTTCATATTATGTGTTATCATGCAGTTTACAAACATGTCAAGTCACCAACTCACAAGAATGTGACTGAACAGCTGATATAACAATGCCATAAAACTGGGTGATAGATTTATTCAACGTATTGCAGATAAGCCTCCGATTGAAGAACTACATCAATTTTTGGAGTTCCAGCTACCAAGACAATGGGCACCTGTGTACAGTGACCACCCTCTTGGCCCTCAGAGGAGGAAACAGAGTAGTGCATCTTTGCCCTTAAGTTTTATGGGACCGAGGCTCTATGTCTGCACTAATATGGTACCATTATTCTTGTGGCTTTATCAGTTTATACTTCATACATTGTCTGCATGATGAGATTCTTTATACTTGCAAGTAGCCATAAGGTGCTTCTATGTAATGTTCATCATTTTCCCCTTCGTCATGCTAGTTGAACTATATAACAAGAAAAGTTAATTACCTTTGTTATCTTAACAAAATTAGGCTCTTAAAAATTCTATGGAAATAATCTGTAGTGGTTCGATGTGATATTTCTGCTAAACTAATGAATGTCTTTCAGTAGACGTGTAAGTTGTTAACTTGGTATGTGTTGACTGTGTAAGTTGTTATCTTGGTTAGTGCTCACGATTTAAATAAGCTTTGGTGTCTGGAGAGAAGTTGTATTCATGCCATTTCCTTACATGTTTCGTGGTATTTGATACAGGTTGATGTGGGTGAAAGACCTGTTACTGGGATTCGGTTGTATCTTGAGGGGAAGAAAAGCAACATGCTGGCTATCCACCTTCAACATCTATGCTCGCTTCCTCAGATCCTGCAGCTCCAGGATGATCCATACAACCACCGAACTCCAGAACCATATGACCACAAGTACCTGGAACCATTTGGATCCTGGAAGCGCTTCTCTCATGTTTACACGGCGCCAGTGGAGTCAGACGACGACTCCTCGATCGTGACCGGGGCACAGGTACATGTGAGCAGCCATGGGTTGAGGAAGGTCCTCTTCCTCCGCCTCAATTTCTCCAAAGTCAGCAATGCTGCGCTTGTCAAGAACCCCGAGTGGGAAGGGTCGCCGAATCTGGGGCAGAAATCTGGCCTCATCTCGACGCTCATCAGCACGCATTTCTCTACGGCGGCTCAGAAGCCTGCCCCTCGCCCTGCTGATGTGAACATCAACTCGGCTGTGTACCCAGGTGGTCCGCCAGCGCCAGCGCAGGCACCAAAGCTTCTCAAGTATGTGGACACAGCAGAGATGGTGCGCGGACCGCAGGACACGCCGGGATACTGGGTGGTCTCTGGTGCCAAGCTGCAGCTGGAGAGGGGCAAGATATCGCTGCGGGTGAAGTATTCACTCTTGACAGACATGGTACCTGACGATGAGCATCCACTTGATGAATGAACGAAAGTTAAAAGTTCATTGCCTCAAAAGGGGGCTAGCTAATGTGCATTTGATCATGTGGTGCATTGCAAGTAAAGAGTTTCAGCATGCTTCTTAGGAAACCTGACTTGTACGTACATCGCTTGTTTTTCAGTTATGATGACCATTTTATCGGCGGAACCGGTGGCTGTCCGTAGTACAATCTTTGAAATTAAATTTGTTTTGCAAAATGGGGTACACTACATTTTTTGTATATACACAATGTATTCGCAACGCAACGAGGTGAAAACAATGGTCGCCTTGCTTGCTCTGACAATCTTTTGAACAACATTCTTTAACATTACATTGCCCTCATTGGTTGGCTCACCAGGCTACCGTTTCGTTCTGCAGCAACATAGCTATTCTCGGGTTCCTGTTTCTAACTGGCTCGCTCTAAGATCTCTAGCATGGATCACCAAAAGAACAAACTCTAGAATCCGAACTCTTACACAGTAACTGGATCTCAAGAATATATCAAAGTAACCATGTTTCAGGAAACATATGGTGTTAAAATCGCATGGGGCTGTATTTACCAGCACATCTATGCTTCTACGCAAACACTATATAACAATTATAAGCAGTTTCAGTTGACCCCATATATAGACACATGTCAGATGCAAATCGTTCTGTGAAGGACTGTCAGACTGTCAGTGCCTTCAGCTAGTTCACTCACTCGTCTCGATCTTTATTTCAGTTGTGCAGTGCAGTCATCTATATTTTGTATTACTCCCAACTCTCGAACAAACTCCAACTCTCCATGCTTCCCTCCAAGTTTTCCTGCAAATTAGGAATATCAGAAAATAACATATAGCAAAAATATTAGGACCCGTTTGGATCTATGGAATTGAATTCATTCTAATAATTACAATTTAGGCATAGATTAATTAAGCTAATATAGTTGTATATGGAATATATTTGCATATTTATTGTGAGGCATACCTTACATGTTGCATTTATATTGTAGAGAAGTGAGTTGAAGAGTGTGCTATAAGTTGGAGAATAGAATTATAGCATAGTGATCTATAGAATCCATTTTCATCTCCCACCCTATTAATTTGAGATAGGTTTATTTGTGAGCTTGGGAAAGTAATGAAATGTCAAATTCTAAGCCAAATAGCCTAATCCACTATGTAGATTTCAATTCCTCCAAAATGAAGGGATCCAAACGCCCCCTTAGAGTAGGTGCTACACACACAGGATGAGGGTATACAGACAACAGAGTTCAGATTCCTGGCACCTGGCCCTCTGGCTTCAGGACCAGATGATTTCTGACAGAATTTGAACCTGCATGCTTATTTTCTTTATTTCGGATAGACCGCCAGCGGCTGCATACAGGCTGCGTCTTTCTAAGAAAAGGGGTGTGCAAATCATCTATTTCATATTCAAAGATGCTACGCAATGCTACACATGATTTGCAGAATGCATCCAGTTCTATTATAAGGAACTCAGGTAACAGAAAGTGCCCTTTGTCACAGCTCTAAACACAAATATACATACCATAGGTTTCAAGTCATCAGAGAATCGAGCTTCATATGTCGACTCTGAATTTCCTCTCTTTTCAGCACGGCGTGCATTAGCTTTTTCTTCATAAAAATCAAAATCATCCAGAATTGATGTTCCCTGAGGATGATCCTTGAAAATTTTCAACATTTGCACACCTTGTGGCAGCCCGATCTACAAAAAAAAAAGAGATAGTGCCTAAAATGGTACAAAATTATGCCCTAAAAACGTATGATGAGAAAACTTTTGATGTCTATTAGAGCATTCATAATAAAAAATGGGAAAACCTTAGAGCATTTCTATAAACCTTCTACTATCCTGCTTAAAAATAATATTAGTTAATGCTTTTAATGTAAAATCACCAAATAATTCATTACTTTTCATAAAACAGATTCTTTTTAGCTTCTATGTTCTCCCAGTCCCCAATGTTTCCTGCTTGAAAATAATATCAGTTAATGCTTTTACTGTAAAATCACCAAATAATTCATTACTTTTCATAAAACAGATTCTTTTTAGCTTCTATGTTCTCCCAATCCCCAATGTGTTAATATAAGAAAATAACCTCATTTGCAATCTTTATTTTTCTTAGAACAGGGGTATCAGAAATTCAGAACGATAAGCTAGAAGCTTGATACCTCCTGCGTGTCCCTGCTAAAAGTAACCTGCCTGTTGTCATTGTTTTCAAGAATTATATGTTTGAACAACCGATTTGGAACATCCTTTATAATATGCCATTTTATAGGGAAAAAGCCATTCCATTTATCTTCTTCCCAAAAGTCCATGGTCTTCTTGAAATCAACAGGACCTAACATTTCAGCCAAACCTACGAACTGGCCGCTGGTGTTGACCTGAAAAAAAAGGGAACATGAGGAACATAAATGTATTGAAATTTACAAATTAATAAAATAGTCATGGAACTGCTTCACTTATTCTAATGGCAGGACAGTCTGGGCAAGAATCAGGTTAAAGTGGTCCGCTAAGAAAATCGACTACAATTTGAAATAATGGCCACAATTGATACAGAAACCAAACAATAAATAGCAACAAATATCATAAAAAAGTAGCATGAAGCAATCTTTTCATGCTCGTAAGTAGCAACTAGCCAACAGCAATCCTTTTTTTCTTTAATTAGTCCTCAAATTACACAGGTCAAGCAAGCACATACATGTCTTGGTCAAACCAGTGTGTATGATCAGAAGTTTATTCAACCTTTTGGGTCCTATGTTTATGTGAAAAAAAAACTAAACAATTATCCTAAGAAACCTTCAATAGGGTACAAATTCGAAAAGGAAAATAAAAATGAAGCAGGTTGTCTATAGAATCTAGATTACAGTTTTCTTTAATATTGTCACAAGTGTTCATTAGTAATCTGTAACAATAGTGAACTCCTAGCATGCCTTCTTTATCCTTATGTAGCATCGTAGTGGGCCACTAAAGAGTAGAGACAACAACCAATCATCTAAAACTTTGTAACTTAAGACAAAACCAGTCTTAGAATCCCCTCACAGAGAAGCAGTGATATCTTAATTATCTTCTCAAACATTGATTTTACAAGATATTAGGACCACTGGCCTCTAAAAAATACAAGGCAGAGTAGTCTTTGCTACTATAAACTGTCATTTACAACTGTTACAACCTACAAACAGGCAAAAAGGTAATAAACTATTTGAAGAAAGCATTTGATCCTTACTGACCGAGAAGAATAGGAAGACAGGGCACCTTTCACCATTGTCCTTCATTAAATTTTGAGCTTCATGGTATGCAGCATCCAGCTTATTGTTCCCATTTGGTGTACTTGCCCAAACGTTATATTTGACACCTTTATGAATGTCATCTTCACTATATGACTTTATCATAAAAAACTTGGCCTGTTTATACTCAACTGAAAAATCTGATCTATTATACTGATTTCTACGGATCAATGGACTTATGATATCTTTCACAGTGGATGACACTGAAGCATTGTTCAATTTATTTGCCCTCGGCCCACAAACTTGGTCCCTTAAATCCTCAGAATTTCTCCAGTGATTACCTTTCATATTGATCATATGGTGGCTGCTACTGTTTACAACTCTGTTAACCACCCTAGGTTTTGCAAAAGAATGTTTGCTTGTGATAACTTTGGCTTGTTCATTGGTATTAATCCTGGCAAAATTTTGCCTTGAGTGATTATTCCCATGAGAAGTACCTTGCTGGTATCTTGACAGTATACGTGCCTCAGCATCATGGCACCAATGACCAGAACGCAAAGGGATCCTATCTCGGTAACCATGGTGAAGAGACAGTGACGGGATCTCATCACCATAGTCAAGTCTCCCTGAGGACAGTGCGGTTTGAGGACCAAAGTGCCACTGACTTGAGCGTGAAGGTGCCTCATCATACTTCTTTCTAGATAAAGAAGGGATCTCATCGCCATACTGCAGGCCTCTTGGTACTGAAGGTGCCTCATCATACTTCTTTCTAGATAAAGAAGGGATCTCATCCTCAAAGCGCCATTGACATGGAACAGGATTGATCTCATCTGCATAGCGGGACCCTCTGGCATATCCAACCATCTGTTTCAATGAGAACTTGTCATGATGAATTATGGATACACAGAAAAAGGTTAATTGCTATACTTGCGTCAGATAAAAACACAGGCATAAGTTGCCATTTTAGTACAGTCAGGATGATCAACAGATGTACCTCTTTGCAATGTTCTACAGATCGACCATTGCGGCTTGAAAAGGAAGTAAATCGGTCTGATCTTCTGTAGCAATGTTCTGAATGATCTAAACCATAATCAAGTTCAACTGCTCCTGGACACTTCCGCATGTGAGGAGCACTAGTAGGATACGAAGCAAGATAATCTGGCCTTGCACTGATGGTGTTGGTATTGGTTCTCATTGTCCCCAATGCATGCCCTAATGCATCTGGGCTACTTGATGCTGTTTCTAATGCAGAAGACTTCTCCCAAGAACAGGCTGAAGTAGGAAAGTGTGGCTTCTGCCTATGATAATCTCTTCCCAGTGGCAATGGATCCTTCGAACATGCATGTGACCCAAGTTCAGTAACATATTTGGTGTCGACAAACTGTGCTTGATAATCCTGAGAATGGAGGATTTGTCCAAGTAGAGAGTGAACAAGAGTTTAATATAGATCCCGAGAACTTTATCCACAAATTGCATGGTTGAATTTAAAACATACACATCATGGTACATAGCTCTTTGAGTAACAATTTTATTCACTGATCTATCTAAACCACAGATATTGGCTGAGTAGCCTGGACCTTGGACGTATGACATAGAAAATGCAACTAGTAAGGAATGATATTCAACAAGCGAACATAAGAAGTGCACCAAGAATTCAAGAAATCGTTCAGATGTGAATGTAACTGTTTATCTTTTTCTTAAAACCAAGTTGATCTTTTGAGCATATGTGAACAAGCTGAAGTGTTTGAACCCATCCAGAACTATCTAGTAAATGTTTTATTCAGCATTTTTGCTGAACTATTTCATATTTAAACCTTGAATTGGTTACTCAGTTAATAATTTGTATGGCTAGGCAAGATGTCATAAGGATGCAAGCATTGTAACAGAAAAAAAGGAAAGGATAGATATAATCAAGAGATAGCCTGTACCAAATGTGACAAATCCCTCTTTGCCTGGGACAGCAAATGACCATCTTCTTCAAATTTCATACTGCCCCCTACAGAATGAAAGCAAAATTGGGTGGCAAATAAACACAAACCCAACGGAACCTCGCTAACAGAATTTGGTTTCTTTGGGAACTACCAGGACACATACATAATTGATATGAAGAACATGAATCTTGCTCGAAAATCACATCCTTCCTAATGGTTGTACCAATTTTTGTTTCTGCTTTCCTTTCTGTTTCTGGTGGATCAAAAACTTCCTGCATCTGTCAAGCAAAAGACAAGTACAGGTGAGAACCGACAAATAAAATGGCTAGTCCTGAATGTGCTGTTACTTCTCAACTATCACAAGCTAACATGTAAGGTAAAAAAAACCGAGCCATGGAAACAGCATTAACCGGACTGGTTACTTCTCAACTATCACACGCCAACATTTAAGGTAAAAAAAACTGAGCCGTGGAATCAGCATGTAATCGGACCGGTTACTTCTCAACTATCACACACAAACATTTAAGGTAAAAAAACGAGCTGTGGAATCGGCATGCGATCGGACCAGTAACTTCTCAACTATCACAAGCCAACATTTAAGGTCAAAAAACCGAGCCGTGGAATCGGCATGCGATCAGACTGATTACTTCTCAACTATCACAAGCCAACCCTTAAGATAAAAAAACCAAGCCATGGACTCAGCATGTAATCAGATCGTTGTCTACCTTTAAGTCTGTGTTTGGTTTCAAGGATGGGATGAGTCGATCCAAAAATTGGTGGTGTTTGGATGAGGATGGGATCACCCCATTTGAGGAATATACCTCGTAGATGCGGGATGGAGCCAGCCCTCAAAATCGAGGGCACGGGGACATACCTCTTGGTCCTTGTCAAACATCGTCGCCCTTCTATTCCTTCACGCGTGTGGGCGAGACACGGGTAGTGCGGGGTTGGGGGAGGGGATGGCTCCGGCGCGGTGTGGCAGCAGCGTGGATCCACGATGGGGAGGCGCGAGTGGTGCGGCTCCACAATTGGTCGGCATGCTTCGGGTTTCGGTGTGGAGGCGTAGTACTCCAGCACGGCGCAATAGGGAGGCAGCGCCACTGCGGAGAGGGACGAGCAATGGAGAAGAGGTGTGGCTGAGGATGATAGGTTGGGCCCATTAATGACAGGCAGGGTCTATGGAACTGTAGCTGACGGCGTTAAAAACTCCATCCATCCCTTTTAACTCAATCACTCCAACCAAACATAAAACAAGGATGGATCAATCCATCCCTCTAAACCAAACACTTGCTGGGACGATCCCATCCCTCTAAATAGGAATGGAACCATTCCATTTCACGTCGACCCGAAACCAAACACATGCTACTACAATGACATGGAGCTCTTTTGATTACAGGAGAAAAAGAAAACATTTAAGGTCAAAGTATCAATATTTCAAAAGCTGAAGTCTTTCTAAAGTAGGAGAAAATAATCAATGTTGCTGCAGAGGATGGGCACTTTCATTTCTCTCTCAAAACTGCCCATGTACACGAGGGCACATGCATTCCATGCAGTTGCTGCTCATGTACCTGTAGTTATGGCAATAACCTGGTTTCTCATGCAATACACACACAGAATAACGAAATGTTTTATCTAGAAAGAGGCAAGGTTTCAAGCAACAACCGATATATTCTCTAGGTTCGAGAAAATGAATCAATAAGGCGACTTTCCCCCTCAAAATCCATGAATCAAATATATCTTATGTGATATGGAAGCAGCTTCTGTTTTTACTAAAAAGCTACTTACTGGCCCATAGGTTGTTATGGCTGCCTCAACAAAGTTTGTTTGTGAGTTTACACGGTTTTTCAGAGACGGGAGTAGATAATTATGAGGGAAATGGGGAGAGATGCCTCCAAAAAAACAGTACTGTTGGATTGGATGCGGGAGGCCATCACTCCACTGATCAATGAGGCAGGGAGGATGGACAGGCAAAGAAACAAAACAGGGGGAATAAAACAGTTACTAGTACTGTATTAAATAAGCAGCCATTTGCTTAAAAGGCATCCTCATTTCTTTTCTTTTTGAATAAAATATAGATAGACGCGGTAGATGTAACAGATTCTCCTACATGGCCAACATTTATGTAAAAATCCAAATCGTATTGTCTTACAACAGACGCAACATGACCTGGCGAAGGCAGAAAAGGACAAGAAGGAAGTCACCCTTATATCCCGTGTGCTCTATTCTATTCATATATATAAAATCAACAAACACACATGGCGAAACACATATGTAGAATAAAGAAAGACATGCAGGGACTGGCAGACCCAATTAAGGACATGGGTGTACACCAAATTCAAGTTAGTATACACTTGCGATTCGATCAGATCGGCATACAAGTAGCCATATAGCTCCATTTAGGGTTCGGGTGCTACATTTTGCACGGCAGGAAGGGAAGGGAAGGGAAGGGAAGGGAAGGAAAGGGCAAAGAAGGGGCGGGCATACCTGGTGGTGTGGTTGTGGGTTCTTGTCATCGTCGTCGCCGGCAGAGGGCCCGAAGAAGAAGAAGACCTTGGGCAGCTAGGCGTCGGGCGGCGGCGGTCGCCCTAGCTGTTGTCGTTGTCGCGTACGCGAGGGCGAGGTGAACGGGACAAGGAAAACAGGTGTGTGAACGCAAGTCTTCCTCCTCCCTCCTCCCTGCGCGCTACTGGGCCGATTTGGGTTCTCTGCAGAAAGCGGCCCATGGGTTTGGGTTCGAGCAAAAGGAAGGAAGCGAAGGGGACCGGGCAAGCGTACCGTACCTGGTGGGCGCAAGTCGCTGGTTCGGGTTGCCCAGTCGTCGCCGCCGCCGTCAGGAAGAGAGAGGGGGGAAAGGGCAGAGAGACGACGACCTACAGTGACGGAAGTTAGTGTGGGACGTTGTGGTGAGCACCGGATGGGATGTATGAGAGGAGATGGAGAAAATGATTTTTTAATTCGGAAGGACTAGCGTCCAGACGTTTGGACGGACAGTGCGTCCGGACACAGCTCCCTAACACAACCCACGGGAAAAAAGCCATGCCGCTAACGGCTCGCTCGCCCACGCCTACGCATGCACAGGGACCACCCGAGCCCGCTCCGTTTCACGCACCCGCATGCACATAGCAGCAGCACCAGCAGGCAGCACAAATCACGTGTCCGCATGCACGCAACAGCAGGCGCACACATCAGCAGCAGGCTCACACATCACCAGCAGGCAGCACAAATCACGTGACAACTTAGGTGGACTAATTGTGTTTATGTGAGATACACATGTGATTAGTCCACAGACATATGTGTGAGCAACATATGCCATAAAGGTGGAAATGACTTGGAGATGTTGCAAAGCTCACACATGTGATGATGAAGGAGCTCATTGCACATGAGACATGACATTGAGTCATGTGATCAAGATGGCGAAGATCAAGACATGACTTGGCTTGATGGACCGGTTGCAAGCGTGAAGGGCAAGTTGAAGGCTTTGGAGCGATGGACCGCGTGGCGGTGAAGCTTGAGCAAGACTTGGCGTCGATGGACAAAGGCAACGGTGAAAAGCAAGTGAAGTCAAAATCGATGAACCAATATGATCACGTGATAATATAAAGTGGATCATATCATTGTTAATCATGTTGGTGCATGTGTTGCATCGACATTGGAGGAGATGGAATGGAATGTGCAAGGCAAAGGTATAACCTAGGGCATTTCATTTCACCGGTCATAGGTGTGTACAGAAGTTGTTGACCGGGTTTATGATAGATGGTCGTACTATCAAGAGGAGCAAACTTGTTTGCATATCGGTCATCTAGTGCCACTTAAGTGATCTAACTTTGCATCGTCGCTAGGATCGAGTGGCGTGGCAAGTTGAGTGGCTAATCCTTTGAAAAATGTCTGTGAAAAGGTAACACACATCCACATGGTGGTGTACACTTGGTGGTGTTAGCACATTTGCAAAGGAGAAAAGTTGATGAAGAAAAGGAGTTGAATGCGCCGGTCACGGGGTGACCGGACGCGTCCGGTCACTGCTTGATCGCCACGTGTCCCATTCAAACGAAGTAGTCGTTGCCGCCCAACTGCGATCGGACGCGTCCGGTGTGCCGACCGGACGCAGGAGGGGCAGCGTCCGATCGAGTCCAGAGAGCTCCCAGAGCCGCTCAATTGTGACCGGAGGCGTCCGGTGTAGCCGACCACAGACCAGACACAGGAGGGGCAGCGTCCGGTCGAGTCCAGAGAGCTCCCAGAGCCGCTCAACTTCGACCGGACGCGTCCGGTGTGGCCAACCGGACGCGCCCCTACATCCGGTCCTCTCTGGACCAACACCTGCGCCCCACGTCACCACGACCTGACGCTAAACAGTGATTGCTCAGCGTCCGGTCACTGCTACGAGCCAGAGTCCGGTCACCTCGGCAAGTCTACCCGAGCCTGGCCAGAATACCGGACGCGTCCGGTATATATATCGGACGCGTCCGGTCACGGGAGATACCGGTATACCGGACGCGTCCGGTCACGGAAGATACCGGACACGTCCGGTCCACATGTCGGACGCGTACGGTCACCCCGTGACCAGCGCATTCAACTGATGTTATGCTTCCCTCTCATACCATGTAACAACAGATTGGAATAGTAAACCTAACCAGAGGATGGAACGCAGGTAGATCAACGATTCACAGGAGGAGGCAACAGCGCAACTAGGGAAAGGCCTGAACGGAACGGTTGGGATCGGCAGAACGAGACGGGATAGATCCCATCCAATCCACGGGCAAATTAACCCTGCCTCCCTACCTCCTCTCTATGGAGGTCATGCAGCAACGGCGGCGCACGAGAGAGAGGGGAACCCAAAAATAACCGTACGAAAGCGACGGACAGACAGATCTATCTACAAGTAAGTAGGAACGGAGCAGCGGAGGAGGGAAGGGCGATGCCGATACCGGAGCAAGACGGGCGGCGCGGTGGCGAAGGAAACCCTAGCCTAGCCCTGGGGGGCTCCAATCCTCCAACTCCTCCGCTAAGCGCGCGCTTTGCTTTGCGGCCGCCCCAGCGCTCGTGCTCCTCTCTTTCTGTTCGTTGGTTGCCTGCCTGCCTACGAGGGGAAGGAAAGGGAGGGGAGCGGCCAAGTGAAAAAGATGACGCGACGCCACTGGGTGGGCCCCGCCAGTGGTGGCTGGGGCCTGGGGGCCCGTGTGTGTGTGCGCGCGCGACACGACGAGGAGAAGGACTGGCTCTTCGTAGGCCTCATTGCCCGGCCCGGCCCCTGATGCCTACGCCCTACGGCCCGCAAACAGCTTTTCTTTTTCTTTTTTTACTTTCCCTTCTCCTTATTAGAATGGACACAATATCATGCGCCGTGGATGGTTTAAGCTAAACGAGATAAAACACAAACAAACTCCTTTTGTAAGACACGCATGCAAGCCAATTTCTATAGGCGCTTTGATCAACGCATGTGCCATTCTTTTATCCTCCAATATGCCCGTTCTAGCCTGCGGACACAGGCATCGGATTGATCCCAGATCACACGCCAACAGCTAGTAATAGCTCGCTTAGGCTACCACGGACCGAAAAACACAGCGAGGATTAGACTTGTTGAAAAACCTAGAGGTTCACGAGCAAACCACCGAAGGGTAACCAACGTGTTTATGTGACGAATAACCAAACCACCAAAGGGTAACCAACGTGCTTACGTGACGAAGAACCAACGTGCTTACATGATGAAGAACCGCTAGTTTCAGACAAACTAGCAAAGAAACCGTCAAAGCTCTCGCCCGAGAAGAACCACGTGGGACCAAGGATGTCACCGGGTTGCCCTAGGTCGGCCAACAAGCCTAGAGCGCCATCATTGGTCGTCAGATCAAGCGATGGACAACAATATGGGATTGGAATATAGGACATAAAGGAGTTGTAGATGTAAAAGACGATTGGATTGTTGGATACCCCAATCGGCCATGTACCCCCTATTTTGTAGGGAGTAGGGGTGGTCTTATCTGATTAGGAAACCAATGTGGCACTATTGTTCCGTCGCTTTATAGAGTTTTCCTTATTAGGTCAAAACTGGCATGGTGCCTCTTAAAATTGGCATGGGCCCAATTTAAATGCCAACATGTTTGTTTGGGTAGGACTCCGGCTTTCCCTCAAACAATTATGTCTAAGCTCATTTAGAGAAATAGTTTTTTTATATGGAGCTGAGATCCTTTTTAAAAAGCATTTGTCACCAATAACTTATTTTATTTCATGAATGTATGGAAGAGGTACGGTCAAATGTTAATTTGTAGTATGATTGTTTGGAGTGAACAAAATTTAATGGTGCAGAAATTAAATTTAAACGATAAATAATGGTTCCTTTTGAAGTAGAGCAATGTTTACAAAAGTGGTTATGACATAGCATTGAACCATACCTCCAAACATACATGATCATGAATTTATGATGATCTATAAAGAAAGATTGGCTTTGCAATGTCTTCATCGAATTTATCCATAAACCAATTAGTGCAATAGTTTAGTTATGTCAAAGAATACAGCAAGTTATAATAAGATTAAAAAAAAGGTGGACCAGCCCACCCTCCTTCCAATACGCATAACCTCGAAAGAAAATAAAAACAAAACTAAACAATAACAACTAAGGTCATAGGCGCAAGAGATGATGGAGTGACATGGGACGCGGTAAAACCAGATGTATATTTTCTTACCGGATTATATGGGGATTTTAGTTGATGTAGACTTAAAGAGACCATTATAATATGTTATATTATAGAATCCAATAGTAAAAAAAAGGAAAATTTGGTAAATTGATGTATATTTTTTAAGTCGCTGAAAAGTTAGAAGCACGTACATTGGGTCTCTCCGGTCTCTCCATCGTTTCTAATATCTCGCTCTTGAAAATCAAATATAATATTACAAAGCACACACATAGGAAAAAACTAAACGAAAAGCATTCATTCCGGCTCCACACACATAGTTTTATCGATAGAACAACACTTGGATGCTATACTTGCTTTTCTAAAAACTCAAGTTGTTATGTTCCAACACTCTCAGATATGTGGCTCGTTGCTTTCTCGCAGCACGTAAGCGAAGGATGCTGACATCTTACATCTGGAAAGGCTAGGTGTTGACGTCGTCCCCATGTCGCCGACCTTGGAGCTGTGGCGCCGCGATCGCTCTCCTTGTCAACATAGACATATCACCTAAGCACGAAGTCACATGACCCACTCAAAGCAGAAGACGTCGACGCGGAGGCCACCGACCACGCGGAGGATGTCCTCATGGACATACGGCTTGAGCTCGCCGGAGAGGAAGTTGAAGGTGTAGTAGGCTAGTAGTCACGTGGAGGATTGGGCACCGTTGTGACTGGAGAAGCAAGAAAAACTACCGGAGAAGTCGCCCTCATGACGTATCTTTCGACACGTCTTGATTGATTTTTCCTAAGGACGTCTCTGACAAGGCTCCTGTCCAAGCGGCTCCGGCTCCTGTGCGTTATTATGCTACATTGTAGCACTAGCAAACACATCTCTAGTTCATTCCGTTTTTGCGTATCAAACCGATGGAGACAACATAGTTGCGTCTATCGAGCTCATTTGGTTCCGTGCTATAGTACGCTACGTTGTCGAAGGCAGTGAGAGTCTAGCCAAACGGGCTCTAAGAGCGAAAAGATTAGGATAAAAAGTTATTGGAGATAGTTTTTATACTATACTAAAATATATTAAGATTATATAAGTGGATTTTGGAAAATATTAAAGATAGAGACACCGCGTGAGACAGACATGTTAGCGGGCCGAGGGAGTGATGGGAAGCGGGGATCGGACTCGGATTGACGGGTGAGGTCTGAGGTCACCTCCTTTTCCTTGCCGCAACCGCAAAGCAGACTGAAGACAGACAGCAGAGTGGGTGGGGTGGGATCCAGTGCAGTCCGGTTCCAGGCTCGTTTAGATTCCAAAAATTTTTATCAAATTTTACGGTACATGTATGAGTATTAAATATAGATGAAAAAAAAACTAATTACACAGTTATGTGAGAAATCGTGAGACAAAACTTTTAAACCTAATTAGTCCATAATTAAACACTAATTATCAAATACAAACAAAAATACTACAATAACCAAAATCCAAAATTTTTTTCATCTAAACGGGTCCCCAGTCCAGCCAGCCGCCTAGGCGGCTTCTCCGCTCGGTCAGGTAGCCAGGTAGAGGTAGGCCTCACATCACGTCACAGCACAGGCCCCCTCCTCTCTGACGGAGATCGGAGGAAGAAGAAGAGGAAGTGCGAGAGAGCAAGGGGGGAGGAAGCGGGCGTGGAAGGAGATTAAGCAAGGAGGAAGGAATGTCTGGGCGGCGCGCGGAGGAGGAGTACGACTACCTGTTCAAGGTGGTGCTGATCGGGGACTCGGGCGTCGGCAAGTCCAACCTCCTCTCCCGCTTCACCCGCAACGAGTTCTGCCTCGAGTCCAAGTCCACCATCGGCGTCGAGTTCGCCACACGAACACTCCATGTCAGTCACTCATTCAATCCCCTCTTCCTCTCTATTGTTCTACTACTAATGTGCTGCATCAGATATTCAGATCAGATCTCCGATGATCCTCTCCTCTCTATACACCAGACCCCACCCAGATCCAGCCTCCCTCCATTCTTGTTAAAGGTCCTGTTTTTTTTTAACAATTTGTCGACCAATTAGTATCTCTATTACTAAACTGGCTGCTTCCTTGCCTGTAATTCGTTCGTTCGTTCGTCTATTCCATCACACCGTCAGCGACCTAGCTTGCTGGATGCTGGATCTGCGCGCGCTACCTTCCAATTAATGACCCATTCTTCTCAGTTCTCACCATCCATCCATTCCGTTGCGACCTGAGCTCAACACTCAGTTGATACATGCATACATCAATCAAACAAATTAAAAGGCAAACAATTGGGCAAGCTAAAAAAGTTACTGTCTTTCCTGCTAAGCAAAGCAATGCAAAGGCAAAGCAACAACGAGTGGCCGCACATGGGATGGGTGGTAGCAGATCCGCACGTGAGTCGTCTCCAGCTCAGCTCCGCCTCCGCCGGTGCCTCACGCCACGCCACACGCGCTCAGCTCATCCCATTGTTGCATTATGTGCATGATGGATGATGATTCATGTCAGTATCATGTAGTCATCGTCAACCAGCACCACCACTAGTGGGGTACACTATTTTACCTGTGGATAAACGTTAGCTTCAACATAACCAGTGTCGCTGTCAGCTCCCTAAGCAAGTGGCAACTGTGATCTGTGCTGTGCCCCTAGTGCAGAGTTAGCTAACTACCCTCCTGCCCAACTACCCTCCATGCCCACCAGCCATAGAATGAGTATGGGCAGGTGCCTACCAGACTGAGCTCAGCTGTTTTATCTTGCTTGCTTGTTGTGTTGCCTGAGACTGGATGACTTCCTGCTGTAAGCATCAGCAAGCTGCTCATTGTGGAAACTACAACTCTTGTACAGCGACATTCTCAGTTAACCATACCTGTTCAACTGCGAATTTTGCCTTCAGCTGCAGCCTCCAGATCAAGACCCTTTCCGAATTAAGGGTGCATTCTGCATTTTTCAGACAGTTGCCAGTTAGTGGACCTGATATAACTAACCTAATCTGCTTCCCTGTTGTTCCTAAAAAAAAGTTCTGTATATATCTAATTTTGCCTGTCTTGCTCTCTATCGCAATATTTTCTGTCAATGTGTAAGCAGTCCAACTACAGACACTAATCCTCCAGTCCCTCACCTGTGCTGACTTGATAATATTGTAGGTTGAGGGCAAGATCATCAAGGCGCAGATCTGGGACACGGCAGGCCAAGAGAGGTACCGAGCAATCACAAGCGCCTACTACCGTGGGGCGCTTGGCGCGGTCCTGGTCTTCGATGTGAGCAAGCCCACCACCTTCGAGAACATCAGTCGGTGGCTCAAGGAGCTACGTGACCACGCCGACTCCAACATCAGAATCATGCTCGTCGGCAACAAGACCGACCTGAGGCACCTCCGGGCTGTCGCCACTGATGACGCACAGAGCTTCGCCGAGGCAGAAGGTCTATCCTACATTGAGACATCCGCGCTGGAGGCAACCAACGTGGAGGAGGCATTCCAGCTGATCCTGGGCGACATTTACCGGGCCATCAGCAAGAAGCCTGTGGCCTCAGATGAAGCCGGCCAGGGCGCTGCTGGAGGCGTCAAGGAAGGTAAGACCATCAATGTGGCGACGGGTGGTGATGCCGCTGCTGAGAAGAAGCAATGCTGCTCAGCTTAGAACCCATGGTGATCTCGTTCAGTGGCGTATGTGTTGTTGTGATGGTTGTTTTTTCTTTTCTTTCAGTCCAAAGTTTGTTGATTCATTTTGTCAGATAGTACCTTCGTTGGACCTCATGTTCACATATATTCTCTAAAGCAAGCAGTTATATATGATTATACCATCACCAAGTCAATTGTCTTCTAGTACCAACAAGCCTACATATATTCTCTAATTGCATTCTCTAATTGAGATCTGCATTCCAAAATTCAAGCACAGAATTGTCTGAAGACAGAGATAAGCTCCGGCTGACAAAAAGATGAGGTAGATGACCTTAATCATCATGTTCAACAATCAAAATAACCAGCACTTTACACCGGTTATCATTCAATTAACTGCCAATTTAAAGATCGACTGATCACTGATGGTACAATTTGCTAGGTTATACAAATGTGGCAATTAATGCTGATCTGTATAAGCCAGAGCTCACACCATATATCATGCAATTAACTGCAAGTTTTAAGATTAACTGATGGTACACTTTGCTAGATAATAATAATACAGACTGTGGCAATTTATGCTAATCTGTATAACGATGAATATCTGACGCTGAAATGACACTATTATAGTATCTTAGTATCCTCCATTCCACTCAGTGTCTCCTCCAATATAATCTTGATTGGACAACATCCTGCGGCATCCATCTAACCACAAGTCAAATTTTAGTGCCCCCTGAGCCCCCCTCGACTACGATGAGCAGCAGCTGCTCTTCTGCTGTATTGGCTGCCCTTTCATGTGAACATGGACGGTGGGTCTCCTCTCCACGGTTGGTTGGGTTGCCATCCTGCAGGAGTCGCACGGCATCAATAGTAATTTCAATCAGTCAGGACCCTCAGTCTAAAATCCAACTCAGAACAGCACAAAAAGGAGTTTTTTTTAATAAGATTGCACAAAAAGGAGTTATATCACCGATACAACTGTCACATGGGGAGCATGCACACTCCATATTACTAGAGCACCGAAAAGGATCATAAAGCCACAAAAATTGCACAACAATCTACCCACAGCACTTGGAAAAGCTAACATTAATGTCAAGAAGATGTCCTGAATTATTTAACTGGAAAAGAATTCAAAGTTTAAAAACTTGAGTCTCAAGTAGTTCAAAAGGAAAGGCACATGTGAAATTGTTGGAAAAGCTTCATCATTTGGCTGGTTAGCATATATGTGTAATGTAACTTCACCTAAGGAAATATGTAATCAAGTAAAGAGTGGAAGAGCCAAAAAAAAAAGCACTCAGTTGTGCATGATTTTCCTCCAAAGAAAATGCATTAAGAAACAGTCAGAAATCACTAACTGAGTTTTATGAAGCTTTCATTCCTGCGGCATGCAGAAAGTTCAGCAATGTTACAGTGTCGAGCTTAGTAGATAAATGGGAACAAAATGGCTTCTAAAAAAGTTTATTTTTTTGCTTACCTTTTCTTGATTTCTGATGTCATGGTTAGGAAAGCTTCCTCCACATTGATGGATTCCTTTGCACTTGTCTCGATAAAGGGAATTCCTAACGAATCTGCAAAAGCCTGCAATTGATTTGATTGTCAGGTTTAGGAAGAACATATAAACATGGACATCTAATTATCTATCGAGATTCGAGAATAAAATAGAATCACAGTGACTACTGTAATTTTTCATTTTTTCCCTTGAATACACAATAGAGCTGTGCATCATTGCAGCAAGAAGAAGAAATGTACGAATACGACACACTCACACCACACCCACCCACCCATACACACCCTCAGTTAAGCATACATGTCTTTGGATCAAAACAAATCACTGTATTTTCATGACAAATAGAGACACATTCCTCCCTTCATTGTGTTCATTCTCGTTTGCTACTTGTAAAAGTTGTCTTAGATAGCTGTTAGCCAGCATCAGAATTACGGCTAGTATTTTAAAGAGAAGCATAAGAAAAAGGATCTTTACCTTTGCCTTTCCAGTGTCAACAACCTTACTGTCAACCAAATCACACTTGTTCCCAACTAGAAGCTTGCACACGTTGTCACTGGCATACCTATCAATCTCACTCAACCACTGCTTGATGTTATTGAATCTCTCCATGTCTGTCACGTCACACACGATCTGAAAAGAGCATTGTACAATATTAAGTCCATACCAAGACTGGCACATTGTGTAAGGTCAAAAAGGGAAATTAACCACTTCAGTCTAATAACTAAAAAGAGTGATCTGCAAATCTATTCAAGCCATCCTAGTTCACTGTATTACACTGAATAAGTGAAACAGGAAAGCTGAAAATGATTGTGTAAATAGAGATCAGCGTGAGCTGTAAATGACGAGTTAAGAGGAATTACGATGATTCCATGAGCTCCTCGGTAGTAACTGCTTGTAATTGTCCTGAACCTTTCCTGGCCTGCTGTGTCCCACTGAACAGGAAACACCGACATCATTATCAGCAACTGGTGGTTGAACAAACATGAATAGATTTTGTAAAGCAATGTGTGAGCTAACACATCAGCGTCACCAAATAATTAGCAATCAATACCCCAATTTCCAGTTTCTAGCCGCACTCCATCATGAGCATTCTAAGTACCAAAGCTATCTGATGTAAACCATTAGTATTTAGAAAACTGCTACCTGGCATGTACGCTTATCTATCCTAAATCATGTGACGTACTCAAATTATATGAGATGAGTAGATACGAGGATCAGCCTAATCATCATACAAAACAGTTCCCGTTGGAAAAGAAACCTGAGATATGTCCATTAAGGATAATGGGATTTTGCTGGTGCGTGACTACTGATGCTATGTTGTATGGTGCAAAATATTGACCTACGAAAAGACGACATGTTCAACAGATAAGTGTCGTGGAAATGCGTATGTTGCGTTGGATTTGCGGTCATACAAGAAGAGATTGAGTTCGGAACGATGATATACGTAATAGATTAGGGGTAGCACAAATTGAAGAAAAGCTTGTCCAACACCGGTTGAGATGGTTTGAACATGTCCAATGGAGACCTCAAGAGGCACCGGTGCGTAGTGGAATCCTAAGCCAGGATAGTAACGTGAAGAGAGACAGAGGAAGACCGGAGTTGACTTGGGTAGAGGCAATAAAAGGAGACTTGAAATGATGGAATATACCCAAAGACTTAGCCTTAGATAGGAGTTCTTGGAAAACAGCTATTCACGTGCCTAAACCTTGATTGCTTCTGCTGGGTTTCAACTCTAGCCTACCCCAACTTGTTTGTGACTTAAATGCTTTGTTGTGTTGTTGTTGTGTTGTGACAACTGATGCTAATAAAGTACCACAGAAGACTACTTTCTGTCTTCTTTTCCGTGGCCAATCTCCTACCAAGAAAAATCAGGTCAATTGGACGCCAATAGTTCTAAGATTTCCTGTACATCACAGCCCTACAAACACACCATCCCCCGTTATTATGGCCTTGTGTTATTCCTACATCCAAAATGCGTTTGAACAAATTATGAGGATAATAAGTGAAGGAACAACAGAATGCATCAAGTTGCATTTGAACAGTTCCTACATCCAAATTGCCTTTGAACAAATTACGCGCAGGATAATAAGTACAGGCATGACAGAATGCATCAAGTTGCACTTGAACAATGCTTCGAGTCAACCCCTAAGAGGAGTGTTGGGGATAAAGTGGTAAGATAAAGTGTTGGGGCTGCTCCTTTGACGTTGGAAGGACACCACTCCGTAGATCGAGTCAACCCCTAAGAGGAGTGTTGGGGAGGAACACAAACTAACAAGAACAAATATGATAGCACAAATCTCAACAACAACAAGCACGCGGGACACAAGGATTTATCCCGAGGTTCGACAACCCCACAAAGGAGCTCCTACGTCCTCGTTGTTGAGGTGACCACAAAGGTCGGAGTCTCTTCCACCTCCTTGCCTCTCTCAAAGCAACCACAAAGGTCACTCAAGCTTTCCACTTAGAAAACGAGGGTAATACAAACTTTCCAAGCCTCTACCACAAGATGGAAGCTCTTGGACGACGCATGTCCGGCTAGGGTTCCAAGAACCCAAGAGTAATAGACACAAATCCAACCGGCTTGACGAAGAAATCAAGTGCTCAAGCTTGCCAAAGTGATTCTCTCGCTCAATCCACTCTCCTTTCACTCAAAACCCTAGGGGAATCGAAGATTGGAGCAAAGAGGAGAGAAGAAGGGCGCCTTGAATGCTTGGGAGCTGCTTTGGACGAATGTTGGTGAGCAATGAATGAGTGGTTGACGGTTAGAGGAGAGGAGAGAGCTATTTATACTCATAGTAGAATCCAACCGTTTAGATCTGTGTCGTAAGTTTCGACACAGATCGTTGGAACTTCCGGCCCTTCTACAAAACACTGTTCATGGCGCAGTCAAAGGTGGTCAACACAGCCAGAGACGGAACTCCCGGTAGAATGTTGGAATTTTCGCCAGTCGGGACTTCTGACTTTCGTCGGGACTCCCGACGCACAGGTGAGCCAGGGGCTAAGTCCCAGGGCATCGAGACTTTCGGCGGGAGCCGGGACTTCCGGAACCCGAAACTCCCGCCTCCCGTTGGGACTTCCGACGGGCGAAGGTACGCAGGCGGGCTGGTGGCAAGGTCAGCAAGCACCGGGACTTCTGGCACCAAACGTCGGGACTTCCGACAGCCGAAAGTCCTGGCGTATGTCTAAGTGTTCGTGAGGTGATTTTGTGTCTCTTTTTTAATTTTATTTTTATGCTTGAGCACTCTATTTTCATCAGACCACATAAACTTGCATCCCTCTTTATAGTACGACATATCTAAACCCAAAACAAAATATAAAAGCTTTGGAGAGCACTTTGGGTTCGTCCGCTTTTTGCACTTGAAAAAATTGAGGGATACCATTTCATCTTAGATCAACTCTTTAAAACTTTCAAGGGACTAAAGCTACAATATATCTCATTAAGATCTCATTAGTCTCTAATTTGGATGTCATCAATACACCAAAACCCACATAGGGGGCAAATGCACTTTCAGTGGTCCGACATCTCGCTCGACTTCATCGAAGGCCTTCCCCGAGTTCACGGCAAAAGTGTCATCCTCACCGTGGTGGACCGCTTCTCCAAGCACGCTCACTTCATCGCGTGGAGCCACCCCTACACCGCCACCTCGGTCGCCAAGGCGTTCTTCGACGCCGTTGTCCGCCTCCATGGGTTCCCGACCTCCATCGTCAGCGATCAGGACCCCGTGTTCACTGGTCATGTTTGGTGCGACCTCTTCAAGCTCGCCGGCGTCAAGCTCCGCCTCAGCACGATGTTCCATCCCCAGACAGACGGGCAGTCCGAGGTGGTGAACAAAATCATCGCGATGTATCTCTGCTGCATCACGGGCGATCGTCCCCACGCCTGGCTTGATTGGCTGCCTTGGGCGGAGTATTGCTACAACACATCATATCACTCCTCCCTGTGCACCTCGCCGTTTCAGGTTGTATACGGTCGCCCTCCACCGGCCCTGCTCCCTTACACTGCCGGGACCGCGCGCACAAACACCGTGGACAACTTGCTGCACGACCGCGGCGTGTTCCTCGCCAACGTTCAGGAGCGTCTTCTTCAAGTGCAGGAGTATGCAAAGCGCTACTATGATGGCCACCATCGCGCTCTGGAGTTCGCCGTGGGCGATTGGGTGTGGCTTCGCATCCTTCACCAACCGGCGCAGTCCCTCTTGCCCGGGCCGCGAGGCAAGCTGAGCCCGCGGTTCGCCGGGCCGTTCCAGGTCACCGAGCGCGTGGGCGACATCGCCTACCGTCTACGTCTTCCGGAGGGCGCATGCGTCCACGACGTCTTCCACGTGGGCGTCCTCAAGCCGTTCAAGGGGACACCGCCGACTTCGCCACCAGTGCTGCCTCAGCTCCACCATGGTCGTTGCCTTCAACAGCCGGCGCGCGCTCTACGTGCACAACTCTGTCGCGGAGCCTGGCACGTCCTCGTCCAGTGGGTGGGCTTGCCAAAAGCCGAGGCTACGTGGGAGCCTCTGGAGGAGCTTCGCGCTGAGTTTCCCTCCTTCCAGCTCGAGGACGAGCTGTTTGTAGGGGGGAGTGATGTTATGGTCGGTAAAGTCTACAAACGCCGGAACAAGTCAAGTGGCTGAGTGGTGGACCGAGGCGGGCGCGCGGTCACCAGCTCAGCGACGTCGTTGCAGTTATCAGGAGCCGATTCATTAGGAGATTGTTTTGTGTGATTTTCATTCCTTTAGTTCAGGAACAGTTGGTTAGGCATTTTGTATAAGTAAGGAACATTTCTGTTAATGAAAGATCAGCCAGAGATTTAGAGTTAATCTCTTGCTCCTGGCGCTCTAGCGCTCCCTCTCTCGTGACACTCAAAACCCTCGGCGCCGCCAGCTCGCATTCGGCCGTTTAAGCCTAGGCCCTCCACCTCACACTCATACTCCCTACGCAGTGACCTGCTATCCAACAAATACAGGGATTTTTCTGTCTCTCATCGTGGGTCATCAGAGACAGGTGTAACGAACATGCTGCCAGTCAATAAAGATGCATTTTGGCTACACCCCTCTCTCATGTGGGTCATAAGAGACGGGTTTGGCTACATCCATATGCGACAACGAATTAAAAAAAACAAAAAAATCTTAATGCATAGCAGTAAAAATATATGTATTACACACGCAGGTCTTCGCTAGACAAGATGGCATTGCATATGAGCCCTGTTCGCTTGGCTGATAAGCCATGGCTGAAAGTACTGTTGGCTGATTTGTTGTGAGAGAAATATACTATTTGTTGACTGAAAAAGTACAGCTTATAAGCCAAGCGAACAGGGCATATTTTCTAGCCTGAACATCAACGTTTCTCGAAACTTTGTGAAGGTCATCTGGGCATAGGTTACAACATCATTGTCTACTAGTATCTTGCATGCGCCCATGCGCACGTAGGTCGTCGATCTGAACATGATAGCCATTGCATCTGTAAGTCCAAACAAAAGGGCATTAGTGAGCAGGATTTAATTAGCTCTTGATAGCAGTGTGTGTACCATGCCTTCCAAATACAGTAATACACTGAAGTTGGGTGCAGCCTCCGTCAGTTATTTTGTTTCTTCTTGAATAAAAATGAAGGAAACCTTTTGTCTGGAAAGAAAGAGGTTATCTCTCAGCTTTCGTCAGGGGATGCTCTCTCTGTCCCCCCATAAAAAAAAAAAAAATTAAGTCATGGTTCTACACATGGTATAAGTCTTGCTCAATTTCCCCTGTTGGTGTTAGCTGTTGGGTGAAGGACTGAACCTGCTGTAAGTCTATGAGACTCGTCCTGTTGCATTGCATTGCTAAATGCTAATGGATGGGGGAGCCATTTTGGGTCTCTAGTAGAACTTTCTTAAAGCACAAAAGTAAGTTAGGCTTGTCAAATTCAATAGGAATTCGACTGCTGGTTGGTTTCAGTTACAACAAAGACGACTTAATCCTTTACAGCCAAGGAGAAGAATCTCCATCACAGTCAGTCATGGCCAAACATGCAGAGAGAGAAGTCGACGTGGATCCAGGGAGGGAAGGGAAGTCTATCTGTGAATCTCCGTCTGTGATGAAGTTGAGGCCCGTCTGTGACTAGGACTGCCCTCACCCTCACATCGACTAGTTGTACGTTGTTCTTTGAATCCAGTTCAGTTGTGCTCTCAACTTTGACGGAACCGGTACAGACTTTTTACAGCACGCAGATATCCATTCACTGGCTAGTGTCTACGTACTTCTCTGAATTCTCTTTGTTCTTTCTGAAGGTTTCTGCAGCCTGCAAGACGCGTGAAGGAAAGGGCGCAGTAGAATAGAATACCCAGGGTGCAAGGTATGATGCATGCTGAACCATCCATCAGACTGTCAAAGATGGATGGATATTTTTAAAGACCCAGATGATGAATATATATGTATTCTCTGCCATCGCAACACACAGTCACTTTTATATATATATATATATATATATACACAGCTATCAAATAAGTTATTCTGTAGCCACCTCTATTTACGATAATTTTATATACTAATGTACGATAATGTCAATACATATTTACGATAGTTGGGTTACTATAACACATGGGGATATTTACCATAACGTTATAGTAAACCATAAGAAGTTACTATAATCTCGTAAATTAACATAGTAATTATCGTAACTCAAAGTGACTACAGAAGAATAAGTTATTTTGTGAATGATTCAGTGACTCGCAAATTTTCAGTGTTCTCAGAAAAGAGAAACGATAAAAGTTACAGAGAGCACAAACCTTGCACAGATGAAACAACAGCATTCAGCCATACCTGGATCTTCAGTAGGCATATAACAACTTATCAAAGCATACAGTCTACAAATGTGCTAAAAAATGGAGTGTGATTTCCTATCAACTTTTGTCATCAGCTAATCCTTACACTCACCTATCTTATGATTCTGTTTGCCTATTACACGCAAAGCCTTGCAAAGGTTAAGTACCCAGTGTGCCCTTTAGCACTGCTGCATGGCCTAACCAAAATGGAGGAACTCCTTTGTGAGCAGTCTGTGTTTTCACCTGGGGCTGTCAACATTCTTCTTTTCTGCGGTAGAGGCCCCACACATGCCTCGTCCGAGGTGACACTCTTCAGAGCAACGTTGCGTATTTCATAATTGCGAAGAAGAATCTCAAAGGTTCTAATATCTGTGAAACACAGTTCATTTTTGTTAGCCCCTTGAGCAAGGCAATTTGAAAGCATGTGAAATACCCTGACCTCCAATGACGGCAAGGTGTTGGAGTTCCATATAAAAGATCCACGATTAGTACCAACATAAGTTAAAGACTCTGTAAGGTAAATGTATACAATATGACTTGGGAGAACCTATTATGTAGTCCATTCAGGACACTTGAAAATGATATGAAATCACGTACTGTTGGACACAAATTTTATTTATTTATGCTCATGAAACAAGACTGCAGTTAGGCTGAAACATGTTTTACGGAAGTAAGAAACATTATCAATTCTATCTAGATGAAGCAAAGTAAAAGAATGTACCATACCTGTGAAAGATGTTTTCATGGCTTCACAAGCACGCTGCACTTGCTCAATACAAGGCGAAAACGAGCATAGAACACCGTCTTTCTTTAACATCAACCCAACAGATGGTATTGCAAGCCAAGGCTGGGGCAAGTCCAGGAAGACAGCATCAGCAGCACCACAATGTTCCTCTGGGAATCCTTCCCCTTGTACATCCCTCACATTGACTGTGATGAGGCTGCTCAAGCCATTCTTCTCAAAGTCTTCCCTGTTTACCAGAGGACATTGAAACTATAATTGCACAAATAATAACTAAAAAGTAAAAATACATGATATTCCTCGAAAAACCTGTTCTTTCTACAACAGAAGCTTTCTCACCTATATTTCTAGAGTTAACATAGATATCTATCCACCCAAAGAAAGAGTGCGGGCTGAAATTGCTGTTGCATCCTCACTTGAGTAAATTTTCCTACATGTATAAGCTGCACTTCACCATATCTATATCCTTAAAATGCTTCTAACAAAATGGCATTCCTGTATCTTGTGTTTTGCGTCTTCTATCGCATTTCGAACACAGCTGCGAAATGCTGGATCACTAACTCTTATACGTGCTGCAAAGGCACAGGTTACGAAATCTTTGTTTACTATAACCACATGCTATGATAAAATCTTCCAAGTTCTACATGTCCATCTACTATAGAGGCATTTAATGGACGGCGGTATGCATCTTTGAGGTGATAAATAACTAATTGTACCGCAGGGATTTCAATGTTGAAGCATGGATTTTGCTGTTGTCGAAAATCTCATGGATCCTAATTAGAGGCTAAGATGTTTCACACAAGTGAAAAGCCTTGATCACAAAAAGAAAAGAAATCAGAGTGATTATATTATAGCTTATCGTTACCTAGCTGAGGCGGCCCTCTGCTCGTGGAAATCAAAGGTGTGGATTTGGCCATGCGGCGCGACGGCGCGTGCCAGCGAAGTGGTGAGCGACCCGCTACCCGTACCAGACTCGAGCACAACGCAACCAGGTACAAGCTCGAGGTAGGCGACGACGAGGCTGATGTCGGCGATGTAAAGGATCTGGGTGCGGTGGCTGAGCACCAGAGTCCAGAGCTCCGGGGTGGGCGCCAGGAGGTGCACGAACCCACCACCGCCCGCCTTGCCTCCGCCTCCGCCGCCCTTACTACTACCTCCTCCGCCGCCGAATACCTTGGATCCGAAGGGGCGGCCGATCCAGTCGTCGTGGCTGAAGACGCCGAACCGGTTCTGGAGCACGCCGCCGGCGCGCACCGCGACGGCGCGCATCGTGTCGTGGCGCTCGTACACCACGACCGTGTCGCCCTCCGCGATGCGACGCTGCGACGTGGGCTTGGACGAGGGGTCCAGGGGGACCATCGTCATGGTTGTGGAAGGATCACGGCGACGGGGTTGGGAGACGGGATTGGGAAGAGTCACAAAGCGCGGCGGCGGCGGCTGGGTATATTTGGCTGGATTTGAGGAATCGATAATGCTGGGTGAGACAGTCTCCTCAGCGGCTGCGACGATGGCGCGCGGGCGGGAGGAAGGAGCGACAAGACAGGCTCGGTGGCGGCGCCGACGCGGCCGTAAAAGATGCGCCGCGCGCTAGGGTTTTGGGCCTTTTTTTTTTTTTAGGGCCCCTTTGGGCCCTTTGGCGCCTTCCGTTTTTTCCAGGGAGGGAGGGAAGGGAGGCCTATCCTCGTCCTATTGTGGCCATACAAACTCCCAGCAGAGCAGAGGGACCTGATAAAATAAAAGGAAAATAAAATGCTGAATACAGACACACACAGACGAGATAGAAAACCAACTATTTTTGAACGCAAATTTGATTCTGTGGCTACAAAAGTTCCGCACCACTCGCCTTCTTCCTTCCTTGCATGGGTTTTTCTTCTTCATCATTCATCAGAGCCAGAGGAGAGGAGAGGAGGGCTGGCTGATACAGTGCTGCCTGCCTGCCTTGCTGCAGGAAAAGGTTGCACCATCTTCATTTGATTCGCAGACGGCAGGCCAAAGAGGAGGAGCTAGTCGTCCACGTTGAGGTTAGCTGTCATGGAGCTTGCCATGGCCACTGGCAGCAGCAGCTGCTGCAGCTTGGTCACCGGCTTGAGGTGCAGGACATGTGCAGCAGCGGCATTCAGTAGTGCTGGGGATCGCCGCCGCAGCTGGAGGACGACGCCAGTGACGGCATCCGGCCGTGGAGCCCGCAGGCTGACGGTATGTATGCCTTACAAGTCACATCACTAGTTGTTCTTCTTCGGATCCAACCAATTCAGTTATACATATTGTTCGAAAAAAAAAATTCAGTTATACATAGTACATGCTACTTGTCTGAAACCTCTCTTGTTCTTTCTTTCTGCAGGTGTCTGCAGCAGCCTGCAAGACATGTAAGGGAAAGGGCGCAGGAAAGGTGCAAGGTATGATAGATGCATGGTGAACCATCCATCCACCACCAGACTGTCAGATGGATACATGCTGGAGTAGCATCATTTGTTTTTTTGCAACACACAGTCACAGACATTTACGTACTGAAATGAAACGACGCAGGGCCCCAGCAAGAACAAGAAGAACGGCAACATTTTCGAGAGATGGAAGTAGGTTTTTTAGATATCATGTTACATTGCAATAGCTACCTGCTACTACTAGTACTAGGGGCCATTTATATATAAGAACCAGATTGAAATTGAGTTGAATTCCATCTCCATCCTGCAGGTGCTTTGACTGCCAGGGGTTCGGGCTCAAGAGCTGCCCTACCTGTGGCAAAGGAGGTCTCACACCCGAGCAGCGAGGGGAGAGATAGAGAATGAATCAACCATGCAACTATCAAAAAATGCATACTACCAGCCTCCTGCTCGGTGTCCGCGGCTGGTGTCGCCACGGCAACGCGTCCGCGTGCTCCTGCTCCCCCAGACTTTCACTTCATACATGGAAACTGCCGGAGCATAGGGCATCCAAATCTAAAACCGATCAGGAATCCAGAGAATTACGCTCAACTCCAATCAGGCAACACCGGGGAGTCAAGGAAGCATATCAGCATGCAATCCCACGAGACCTTCCGCTACTCCAAGCAACGACACGGATTTTGCTCTCCCGGGAAAGAATGGAAAGCAGAGGACCGCGCTGCCGGTGGAAGCGCATCCTCCCGCTACCCCTACGGCGGCTGATGTGCAGCGACAAGTCCGGCGACGCCGCTGACGCAGGGAGGTGGAGGAGGGTGGCCGCGGCGCTGAGATGGCGTGAGCGCGGCGTGGGCGAGCGCCAGCGAACTCTCTTGCTTCGACCGCGTCCATGGCGCGGCACGCTCTGTCGCGGCGGCCCAGAGCGGAGGAGAGAGCAGAGGGAGAACGAGGCGAGCGAGGGGCTTGGTCTACTCCGGTGGTCGGTGGTGTGGACGGAGGATGCGGAAGAAGGGATTGCAGGGAGGGCCGCCGGGGACGAGCGGAGGCGAGCAAAGTCGAGCGCTGGAGGTGACGGGAATCGAGCAGCGAGCCTTGGCCCCTAGAAAACGACTTGCTCCCACGTTCTTCTGGGCATGTCCAGGCAACTAAACATATTCAACTTGGCCTGTGGAGCCTGGGCAGAGTGAAGATAGGGAACCAAACAGCCCTGTACTTGTTTGGTGCAAAAATATGGTCACACAATACTCAAATCACAAAATAGATCGAGAATCTTACGGTGCACCCTGTCAATACCTGATGGTCCGATATTCTCGGGTTGCTAATATCGGATGGCCCGGTAGGCAGTAGCACACACCGAACTGTCCACTATTCTCGGGTTGTTCCCCAAAAGAGATAAATCTCATGCATCGTGTAAGTTGCACGGTGGTGGATGGCTATAGGTTTATAGCAAACTAGCAAAGAGTAATTATCGTATGGCTAGTCTATAAACAAACTAGCAAAGAGTAAATATCGTGCTTACATGACAAAGAACAACTGAGAGACCAGTTGAGGTCCCTACAGGCTCTCTACTAATGGCTAAGTGTGTGACAAGCTCAACCGAGGTCTTTTCTATCTTATATACCTAACTAGGGCCGAAGCGGAAGAAAACATATGGGAAAAACATCTCTCCATTTTCCGTTTCTATAATTCTTTTTGGTAGAAACATGATTGGGTTCAGAAAAGCCTAGGTAATAAATAGGATCGGAATATGCAAAACATGCGAAAATAGATAAATACGTGCAAAGAGCTAGAAAATTAAGTTAGGCACTCGATGAAACGTGATTAGTGAATGGCGGGTGTTGGAGAGATGTTTTTATGCTTTATATTAGCTGGGTTCACATGAGGGAAGGATTGAGTGAAAATTGGGAGACATTGGGGCACGAACAGGAGGTATATAAATGGCCAAACGAGCAGCCCAGCCCTGCCATTACTCGGCACGACTTTATGGGGGCACGACACTATCAGACACTATAGATTATCCGTGCCACGCGTGCCTAGCAGTGCCACCGTGCCGGCATCTCGGCTCAGGCACGACACTACAGCCGGTTAGCCGTGTCGTGCCGGTACTACAGGCCTGGTGGCCCGCCGCGCCGCCGCGAACGAGGCCGAGGTCTTGAGGACGCGCCTCCGCCTGTGTTGTCGTGCGCGAGGATGAGGGCCTGAGGCCACGCCTCCGCCTGTGCCGCCACGTGCTTGCACCACCGCATGCATAGCCGCCTGCGTAGCTGCATGTGAGGTTGAGGTCGTGCCTCTGCCTCCGCCTCCGCCTCTGCCTGTGAGGCTGGGGTGGGGCGAGCGTCAGCGGGCGCATGTGGAGCAGCTGAAGGAAGAAGAAGAAGCTCCGGGGCCATTGGATTTTGATCCAACAGATGTGAATCATTGCCATATTAGATGCAAAAATGTAGGCACCCTAACAGTGATAATCATACTATTATTGTCGGTTCTTCTATCTAACCGGCAGTGTTATATCACTCCTAGAACATGGGTCAAGCAAGCAGAGAGAAAGGGGGTCTTCATTGCTGGCTACTGCTGGTTAAATAGGATCCCCAGTCATTGTCTAGATTTTAGACTTACGATCTGATAGTGAAATATAATCACTGGCGGCTTCATCTTATCCGACAGTGATTACCGGTTCATCGAGTGACCAGTACGTCGTGCTTCGAACAAAAGAAAAAGTTGACGTGAGCATCTTGCTTTTCCACTTTTCCCGGTCTTCCACTTGCGAGTCGTGACCCACTCACCACCCACCAAAGGCATATTAAGCATAAATCTTCCTCCGATCTACTATGTCTGTTCCTCAACTTGTGAAAGCTAGCTAGCCCCTCCCGGCTCCCTCCTCAGGTCAGTGCTAATTCTCGCTCGCTAGTTAATCGATCTTCCTTTCCTGCTGCTCATGAAGACACTTAGGGCTCGTTTGGTTGGGTGAAATCCAACCAAGAACCCTTCCAGCTAATCAAAACTAGTATAAATTAGTGAAGTATTCCAGGTAGGAATAGATCCAGGGGTCGGCTCCCTGCCAAACGAACAGGCCCTTGATTGATTCCGAGGCCGGGAGGGATATAGCATAGCGCCTGTAGTACGTATATATAATATGCATGAGTAAGCTCGGCTCATCAGTCTTAACCTGCATGTTAGGCTAACCTCCCTCCAATACATCTCCTACCTAACAGGTTTCTGCTGCAGTGCTTTGCTGGATCCAGGACTGCCTACTACGTACTGCGCAGTCTGCGCCACCAACCCCATGCATGATCCAGGTGGGAGATCGAGCTTAGTCTTTGAGCAATAAGACAGAGATTAGGCTGTATTTTTGCCCAGACCTTGTCTTAATTAAACGAAATCTTACTTTTCCGGAACTGATGCCACTATGAGCTCCAATATATTATGAAACTTTCATGGACTTAATTTGGTATCTACTAGCTTTCACCATCATTAACTAGCAGGCTGCTGGCCCATGTATTACAAGGACAATTTTCGTAAATAAAACATATATATACTTTAGATGTTTATAACTGGAGCAGACTAGTCCAGACCTTTCCAAACACGGCCTGTTAGATGGACTACAGTCTGCATAACCCCCTTAATTTGTTTTGTACAATACAATCATTCTTCTTTACCTAATTAAGTTTTTAGCATCTATGTATTTTTAGCCTTCATAATATCTCGTCGATCGTCAGTTCGTCATGTGGAAAGAATAGCACACGCGTGTGTGTATGAGAAAACTCCAAGTGGTCTGTCACTTTTGCCGCTCTATCAATCAGCTTTTTTCTCACTACTCTAACTAGCTAATTAGTCCGCAATGCAGGACAACATCGATTCTAACAGCTTCAAAGATATCGATCAATCGCCTTAATTTTTGCCCACCGCCTCTCCGCTAGCTACATGAGCTGCCGATCAGCCGTGGATCTCATGACAGGGGCCATTGGGCACCTGCTCACCAAGCTTGGCGAGTTCCTCAAGCAGGAGCACAATCTGCGAACAAGCATGAAGGGAGACATAGAGTCTCTTGAGACACAGCTGAGGAGAATGGACGATGCCCTATCCGAGATGACGCCACGGGCGCAGCAGGAGTACGATAAGTATTGTGCATATGAGCTGAGAGATCTGTCATATGACGTAGAGGATATCGTCAACAACTTACTGTTGACCATGAACGATGGCTCGGAGCCTATGACCAATAACCAAGACAGCTTCAGGGACACGTGGGAAGACATCAAGGCCCGAGTCAAAAATCTGGATGCCTGGCGTGCTGGAATTGTGGCTAAACCTACCACTAGGTCTGTTGACCCATCTCTTGAGGACAGGTTCATGCAAGTCAGACAGCTTGTTGGCATCCACAAATTACAAGCTGAGCTCATAACCAGGATGTCTTCATCTTCTTCTCAGCGATTGAAGATAGTATCCATCTGGGGGCGGAGGAATGGGCAAGACCACTCTTGCAAAAGCAGTCTATGAAAATATTAGAGGAGATTTCCATTGTAGCGCTTTTGTTTCTGTTGGCCGACAAGCTGACGTGAAGAAAGCCCTGAGGGATATTCTCATAGACCTTGGCAAGAAAAGATACAGCGATCTTAACATGACCATGCTGAATGAAGGGGAGCTCATCGACGAACTCCAGCATTTCCTTGAGAACAAGAGGTATGCATTAGCCGGCCGATATCTTTGCCTCCATTTTTTTCTGACAATTGTTCATTCAAAGCATACATATTATTTGAGTTTTTTAATTTGAGTATATAAGTGCACATAGTTACAAATATCCTATTTATTCCTACAGTTTCAAAATGTAGTTTTGTCATGAGTCAAAATTTTCTAATGTTCATCAGGTTTATAGAAAAATGGCCAAAACTTAATTACAAGATCAAATTATTTTGGTTAAATCCCCCATGGAATATGTATTGATGGTTCATTTATTTGGTACTATAGATGTTAATGTATTAGAAGTTGCACTGATTAAGGGTCAGTTTGTACAAAATGCTGAGGCAAACCTTGGCAATGATTTGAGTATTGAACATCTAAGGTCAAACCCATTAAATCATGGCACACCAAACTAGGGTAAGGAACTAAGGCGTGGGAAAGTGTAGAAAGTTGTGACATAATATGGCAATAAACCAAGTAGGGTCCTGAAAATGTTACTCCTGTTCTCATATAGATGTTTGTTGTCGTTGTTTTTTACCACTAGCAACACTGGCATAGGGTAGTGGAGGCGAAGTTGGGTGCTTGCCCCCCTCTTCCTCCACACTCTGACCACTGCAAGTCTTCAGAGTTGTACCTTAACTGACCCCCCCCTCCTTTGTTTGACACCACGCTCCACCACTAACTGGTAAGTAATCTGATGTATCATGCTCGTACGCCAAGTGTTGGGTTCGGTGTCGAGTAGAGGAGCTATATCAAGGTCAAGGCCGGATGCCGACCAGAAGGCCCCTGCCCCTTCTTATATAGTCTGGAGGTATAGGGTTGCATATATAGAGAGTCCATGCCAAACTGGTTTACATGGATTTTCTAGTTGGTTACAACAGAGTCCCGATCCCGTCGGTTTCCATGTATACCTATATATTCCTTGTCCGCCAAGTAGATGATGCATTCCTTGTCCAGATTCACCCTGGGCCACACCCATGCCTGGGAAGCCGGGTATGGCCTCAGTGAGGGTACATTGGGCCATGTATTTGTCAATAGCCCTCCTAAGCCTCTTGTGCGATTCAAAAAATAGGATAGAGGTTCAACCCTAATCTTCTTGTGTTCTTCTGATCCCTGAGTGTATGACATCTGCGGTACAATTGTCATCCCTACTCTAGAAAGCAATAGATCCAAACACTCTCTGCAGTCCTGACAGAAGTCGAGCACTCGGTCTGTCCACAATCAATAAGTGTGTGTAGTGATGTGGGAAAACTTTTATGTTTCAGTTATCATGCTTATGTTTTTTGTTTGTCATATACATATATATATGTCTAGATAGTTGTCCTAATTTGTGGTTCTTTCTTTTTTATATGAATAGGTTCTTAATTGTTATTGATGGTATAAGGGGCATACCATCATGGGAAGTAATTAAATGTGCTTTAGTGGACAATGGTTGTGGAAGTAGACTAGTCACAACTTCTCGTGTACTCGACGCCGCAGAATTGAGTGGTGAAGATTTGGAGCTGATGCCCCTTTCTATTGATGGCTCTAAGGAACTATTCTATGCCACATTATGTGGTCGTAAAGGCGCACTTAGTTTTGATCCACTAGATGAGCAGACCACTGAATACATTCTACAGAAATGTGGTTGTGTACCATTAGCTATAATTATGATAGCTAGTTTGTTGGCTGGTAAACCACAAGAGGAATGGACTGAGGTGTACAACTCTATTGGATTTGGGCAGGAAGATAATATGGGTGCTGAGAACAACACAAGAAAGATAGTCCAGTTTAGTTACTATGACCTGCCAAGCCATCTGAAGACCTGCCTGTTGTATTTGAGCATATTTCCTGATGACCACGTGATTGAGAAAGACACACTGGTGTGGAGATGGGTAGCCGAAGGCTTTGTGCATGACGACGGAGAGCTAGAGGAATCATTATTTAAGGTCGGAGAGAGGTATTTGTATGAGCTTGTTAGTAGAAGCATGATCAAGACAGTAGAAAATGAGGACGCCAACATATGTGTTTGCGGTGTTGAAGGCATGGTGCTGGACTGGATTCGTACTGTGGCAAAAGAAGAAAACTTTGTCAATGCATCGGCGGAATGGTATGACGAAGATCAACATCAAAGTAACAATGCTCGTATAATGGCCATCCATAATAGAATCCTGGACAAACCACATGGCGTCATGGCAAGAATATGGAAACCAAAAGTGAGGTCATTTAATGGCACTGGCTGTAGTATTAGCAGAACGACGTTGCTGCACACAACTTTCCAGGTTTTACGTGTCCTTTCCTTAGAAGGTTGTAAGTTAACTGCAGATTGTTCTGATGGTCTGAAAATTTTTATCGCGGGGTTAATTCACCTGAGATACCTTGGGCTTGGTGGAACGTATATTAGGGGTCTGAAGATTGAAATTGGCCATTTAAGATACTTACAGACACTAGACTTGACGGATACCGACATATCGGCATTGCCATGTGGTGTTACTCAGCTAAGACAACTCAAGTGCTTGCGATGTTTTGCCTTAAGAGGACTAAAATCACCAAAGGGTATAGGAAACCTAACATCGTTGGAAGAGCTGTGGTTGGGTAAAGTTCATAATTCCCCAAACTTTACTAAAGAGCTGAGCAAGCTGACAGAGCTAAGGGTGCTCCATATTGTCACACGGTACAGTTTGGGTGGAAAACAGCAGGAAGCAGCCTTATTAGTGCAGTCTCTAAGCAAATTGCAGAAAATCGAAGTACTAGAGCTTCATATTGGTGGAGCAATGCAAATTTATTATTTGGGACGAGGGGCCAGTAATATGCTCAAATATCATGTCATTGCTCCTGGTTCATTTCCCAAATTGCGCTACATGAAAATGAATACCTGGCTGATTTCTCAACCGGGTGCTATGCCACGGCTTAAATCTATTGAGCTCGTCATTCATGTGTGGGCTCTCAAGGATGCCAACTTTGACTTCCAGGACTTCTATAAATTGAGTTACCTTCGTTTTCTTGAGAAAGCTCGTGTTGGAATCAACTGTCTGGGAGCCAAGATAGAGGATGCAGAGGAGGCAGAGGCAACGCTGAGCCCTTGTTTAGTTGCTACCCAATTTCCAAAAAGTTGCTACAGTACCTGTCACATCGAATGTTTACGGTTCATGCATGGAGCATTAAATGTAGACGAAAAGAAAAACTAATTGCACAGTTTGTTGGGAAATTACGAGACGAACGTTTTAAGCCTAATTAGTCAATGTTTGGACACTATTTGCCAAATAAAAACGAAGATGCTACAGTAGACCCAAAATCCAAATTTCGCGAACTAAACAAGGGCTGAGACGCGCAGTCCAAAGCCATCCCAACCGTCCCACGCTTACTCTTAACAGAGTTGGTAGGTGTGTAGACGATAAGCAGGTACTGCTACTACTCTGCTTGCTACTAGTGTTTCTTTTGTTTTCCTTTCTTCAAGCTACACACCCATGCATGGCATGATAAGTGGCGATTGCCTGCAGATACTCTTCCGCGGTGGCTTACGCGGTTCTCGATTGGCACCACAAGTCATGCCACTGGAATTATTGAGAGAAATTACAAATGATTTCAACGAGAAACAAAGACTTGGTAGTGGGACATTTGGAACAGTATACAAGGCAAGTAATATAGACCATGAGTACTGTCTGTTTAGTCAATATAGTATTTACAAATTACAACAAACACTTTTACCTGTTGGGATCGACATGGGACTGCTAGGTGCTAGCAGGACAAGCAACTTGATGCATAGATTATCGCTCTGTTTGCTTGGCTTATAAGTCGTACTTTTTCAGCCAACGAACATTATTTTTCTCTTACAACAAATCAGCCAACACTACTTTCAGCCATGGCTTATCAGCCAAGCGAACAGGGCAATATATTGAAAATGTGTAGTTGCTTTTTCTATAAATTCTAGCTAATGCATGCCAGGCAGGTAGGGTTCAGGCGCAACTCCAATCCGTCCCATGCATTATAAAAAAAAAATAAAATCTATCCTATGCATTACTTATCCACCATCATCAATTACATAAGGGACCATTATAATTACATTAGTGATTTCCTATACTATTCTATATTATTATACTAATATATTACATGGAGGTTATCTGTCTCTACAAAAAGATACCAGAGTATATAAATAAAGGACAAGCAGAAGAAAATTGAAGGGGCATGAGACTGTATTATTAAAGGGCACGATAGCAATATCAAATAATATGTTAGGAGTGAGGAAATTTTAATTTTGGTGATAATAAACAGACTCTATTTTGCTAATATGATAATGACATCAATGCCAAATGTTGGTATGTTGATTAGGGTGTCCTAAATGGCAAAGAGGTTGCCGTGAAATTGCTCCATTCAATGTCACAAAAACTCAACTATGAAGAGGACTTCATGAAGGAGTTCGAGAACCTTAGAAGACTCGACCATACTAATATTGTACAGCTACTTGGCTACTGCTATGAAATAAAGCGTATTTGCGTAGAGTATGAAGGAAAGTATGTTCTTGCTGATAACATTGATAGAGCTCTCTGCTTTGACTATATGCCCAATGGAAGTCTACAAGGGCACCTTAACGGTAAGATGATGGTGGTCCTATATATATGTATAGTATATTGGCAATATTTCTCATCATTACATTTTGTCCATCCCTCTCTGTTTTCAGTAGATGAATCCCATGGATCGGGTGGCGAGACACGCTATAAAATTATTAAGGGGACTTGCGAGGGTTTGAAATACCTTCACAGAGGATTGGAAAATCCTATGTTTCACTTGGATCTAAAACACAGGAATATTTTACTCGACAAGAATATGGTGCCAAAACTTGCAGATTTTGGTTTATCGAAGCTCGTCTGCGTGACAACCGGACTCAAGACACATCAAACTTTTTAGGAACAATGTAACTTATTAATGCCTCTCTGAACCCAATTTTTACGAATCAACTAAATCGTGTTTTCTAACACTCTTGCATCTACAATTTATGATGTCATGCGATCGATATTGTCCTCCGAACACATTGAGTGCTCCTTTTTCTCCGATAAGTTTGACATATTCAGCTTGGGTGTTGTAATGATAGAGATAATTCTTTGGGTCTAAAGGCTACGACAAGGCAATTTGAAATGCCTTCCCAAGAATTTATTGATCACGTAAGTTAGGTCCCTTGTATCAAGATCCCTGGATATATATATACAAAACTCGAGTAATAGTATATATATAGTTTGTTATGCCTGGCACATTTGGATACTAAATGATACACTTTCTTTATGGATCAATCTATAGGTACAAGAAAACTGGAGAAAAAGGATACATCGGCCAACATTAGGCTGTACATTACCAAACTATGAATGCCATCAAGTGAAGAGATGCGTTGAAATAGCACTACAATGTGTCCATCCTGAACGAATGCAAAGGCCTAACATTGAGGATATCATAAGTAGGCTGAAGGAAACTGAAAACAATACTGAGAAATCAGCCACAACTTCTTCCTCACAAAACGAGACATGACACACAGTGCTATGACATCTACACAAGGTAAGAAATCAACGACACAAATGTTCTTGTTTTCTTCAATTGGAATGTTTGATTAATTTTATTTGGCCATAACATTATTTAGAAATTCCATGGATGCTAAATAAAGAAAATCAAGTGCGCGCGGAGAAAGTCAATTCTTGTTCAAAACAAAATAATTACGGTTTTTCTACTCCACGCCAAGAACCAATCTTGGCGGGGAGGCTTTTGTTGGCCACTATATATGCTTGTGTCAAAACGATATAATTTTTGATAAAGCTATGGTAAATTATGCGTGTGGGTGATTTTCAGGTATAATTCAGTGGATTGACGTCCACTGGTCACTACTGCAAATGGAGGGAGACGGTGTGCATCCTATCTGGTGAATGCAGCCACCACTTGATCGATGGAAACCTTCGCAACATGCATCGGGGGATGGTTTAGCAATAGGATCGCAATTTAATTGGTTTATTTGGTGATTGACTTAAGGTTGAAATCCCCATTCATTTTGGCTTTTAAATGCTTGTATGTAATAAGGAACAGCCGATGCAGCCCATGGGTCTCTAGGCTAATTTTCTTATGTTTTATCTAAACAATGTATAACAACGTAATAAACTCACTGGACAAACCCAAGATGTGTGTGGGCCGTGCTCCCACATGTTACTAGGATGTCAAACATACCTAGTTTTGCAGATATTTTTTGTGTTCTTCCATTCCATTTGATTAACATGGTTCTAAACTAGTACTTCTTTGTTGCGAGGTGTTGTATTAGTACTATGTATATGCATAATGCCCTGATCTTCGGCACTACTTTTCAGCCAATGAATAATGATTTTCTCTCACAACAAATTAGCATCAGCATAAGCCAAATTTCAGCGAAACGAACAGGAATATGTAATCCTATATATGCATTGATATTTACTTGTTTGCAGTTAACGACCCTATGGCCCCGTTCGGCTTGCTGAAACTGGCTGAAAAATACTGTTCTGGCTGAATTATTGTGAGAAAAAAATATTATTTCGGCTAAAAAAAAAGACGAAGCTTCTGGAACGGGGCCTATGGAACGAACTTGATATCATGAAACCCCGTCGTGATGAGGACTACTCATTGAGCGAGCTGCTGGTCCGCCTAAACTTATGCTCGACAGTTGAAGCTAACCATACTCTACAATAATATATAGCAGCATTATTTTGGAATAATGCAGCTGCTTGCATTTGCGCTTGACGGCTTGAGACCAGAGGCATTAAGGGCTGCTTGGTTCCGTCGCTCGCAACCGTGATTTCTTGCCACGAGGATAAAACAAAGCCAGTACCTGTGTTTGGTTCTCTTGCTGAGTGCTTCGCGGACCGTGTAGGCAAGATTCTCCTTGCTCATGAGGGAGAGCCAAATTGGCTCGCTCGTCTGGGCTAACTCCTCGTTGACTGTGCGAGCGCAGCAAGCAAGGTGAGGCAAGGCCTCGACGGGATCCAAGAAGCCCCTAATTTTCGGTTGGTGGCTGAAGACATAGCCACCCACTGTGCAGCGTGCACATACCTGTGCTATAGCTTATCTAACAAACAATTGAAATAAAGGGCTATAATTAATTTTGCACGCATTTGATTTGAGATTTGGGCATGCTGCTCTAAATTAGGAAAGACTTTAATCAACATTTTCATTTTGAGACTTTAATCAACATTTCCATTTTGACTTTTTTCCCTACATGTCTACTCAACTCAGAAGGACGAGGTCCACATCGTCGACGCATTGACCAAACCAACCTCGACATCACCATGCTCACCCTGTAGTGCCGTCACCGCCGGACTCACTAGCTATCCACCCCCTCCACACCACCTTGTACTAACCGAGGATGTTGCTCACTCCTATTGCCTCCACCGTTAGCCCTAATCATAGCATCCTTCTTCTCCCTCTCAAACTGGCATACTCGTCACCTGCATCACTTAACCGACCTCTCCCACTATTCTGACGGGTGGCAACTCCGCTGTCCTACCCCCACTGTGGCAATATCATCTCGACTACCATCATTGTTATTACAATTGAAGAACACCGCAATCCCTGACTTATAAAACCTAAAACCTTAACCACTAACCTTTCTTCAGTCGCTTGATCTCACTCTACTCAAATCCTTGGAGGAGACCTTGACAGTCATGAATTTTTTCTCATTTTTTTTAAAAGATAGCTGAGTAAGGCGGAGGAAGACAAGACATAGGACGACGACATGACTTCGTGAGAGATACGACAACCCCATGAGCCACCGATGAGTCGGGCCGACCCACGTCCGTGATGTGCGTCACGTGCAAACACGGCTTGAAAGAAGCATCCTCGCTAAAAATTCACCTCTTTTTTTCCCGGTCAATCGTGTGATAAGATAATTACTGCAACATAGCCATAACATGATCTAGCATTATTATGTATTATGATGCCCTGTGTTACTTCGTTTTAACCACAAGCCACAAATTATTATGTAGAGAAGTGTGTGAAGTGTAAAGTGCCCAACACGCCGTGCAAGTGCAAAGATCTGGCCGGGTCAGCTCAGCTCAGCAGGCTTGCCGTGGAGTGTAAGCTCCTCAACTTAACGGTCCAACAGCATTGAATAATGCTTAGAAGCCGAAGAAAGGGAAATCCATCCCTTAAAAAAATGACGCCACAACTAACAAACAAACATGGTGTACACTTTCCATCCCAGTCCTTCCAATGTTCTTGTTTAGCATTCTTACAAAGATATGCATGCTCCATAGCGCTTGGTTCTTCTAACATTCAACATTTTTTTAATTAAGATTATTAAGAGAATCTTACCGTAAATTATGTACCATTGAAATGCTTACCATGTCATTCTCAGAACAGGTTACCTCATGTTCTCTTACCTTGATTTTACTAATTTTATTTAATGCAGCAGAGGTGTACAAGGAAGTGTTTAGATCTATCATTGTGCTTCAAACTTACTCCGTCGCATAATAAATAAGTTTCTATAAATTTTGAGACAAATTAAGGACATTGGGAAATATCTCTTGGATTTAGCCGTTATCGTTTGTATGCACCATGATTAGCTTCCACATTAGGAGACAGTGTTCTATGTTTGTGTAGAATATTATATGTTTTAGGATAAATTTCAAACCTTATATAATTTCACGTTAAAACAGCAAAATGCTTCTTCATGTGAAAATTTTTATCAGGTCTTGGTGAGACTCGTGAAAGAAAATCTTTAAATCTTCCAAGTGAAGCCTTACTGCAGTCTGCGGACATGAAAAGATCTGGTCCTGATGGTTTGTCTACATCAGAACTTTTTTTTTTAACAACAATCTTAGCTGGTGGTTGACGTTAGGGTGACCTGGTGGGGAATAAGATTCCCACTCTCACATGTTTGTTTGAGGAAAGACTTTTTTATACTCTTTTTTTTTCACTTTTCATTCAAGGAATAAAAACAAAATTTTGTGCGCATCCATTTCATTCCAAGTAAAGGGAGCACAAATGAACTGTTTGTTGCTCTTGTAGAATTGCAAGAGGTTCATTCAGCATACATACAATTTTAGAATACGAAGAACGACCACAGGATGATTTTGCAGAAAAGTTGTGAGGATTCAGCAAGATTCAGGACTCTCTCCTCTCTCTCTCTACCAGTCTCTCTCTGTGCTGCGCTGTATCTGTCTGTGAGCCCCCCCCCCCTCTCTCTCTCTCCAGCACTGCACTGCTTTGTCCCTTTCTCTCTCTTCTCATCATCACATCAACCGTTCCTTCCTTGTACTCCCTGCGCTCGCATTGCTTCGCGGCATCTACTGCTGCTCCTCTCCCCTCGCGTCGCCGCCGGGCGATCTCTCCGGCCGCCTCCGCTCCGCCGAGATCGATTCCACCCACCGCTCTCGCCCGCCTCCGCCCACTGTCCCCGCCGCCGCAAGATTCGCCCGGTTCCTTCGGCCCTCCTGCCGGTGCCCGGTGCGCCGGCGCCTGCCTACTCACCTGACCGGGCCTAAAAAAATCCTCTTTTTTCACGGTCTCCGGTTCGGGGTGCCGCCATGCGCCGCGGCGACGGGAGGACGCCGTGATGCCGCGCCCGCCCGCCTGTCGCCGCACGTGAGGTGAGATCTCGCCATCTCGGGGTGGCCATCTCGCGGCGGCGCCGCCATGCCGTCCCTGCAGCTGCTGCAGCTGACGGACCGCGGGCGAGGGCTTCTCGCTTCCAGGAGGTCGGCCGGCTCGGATCACTCACTCGCCAAGTTCCCTCTTTTAACTTCCTCTTGCCGTTCTTGCCAATTGCGTTCCTCACCGTCGTCACTTGTGCGCCACCAACCAGGAGGACGCTCGCCGTTGTCTCCGGCGCGGTGCTTGCCGGCGGAGCTCTGGCGTACGCCCGCTCGAGCCAGAGCCAGCGGAGGAGGCGTTCCGAGGCGAATCACGGTGGCGAAGCCAGTGCATTGGCCACCAATGGGGATGGTGCCGGCGGTGGATTGGCTGCAGCAAAGAAGAAAAGGAGTGGCCTGAAATCTCTGCATTTCCTCGCTGCTATCCTACACAAGAAGATTGGTCCCAGTGGCACGCGCTACCTTCTCGGCTTGGTATTAACAGCGGTAGGTTCTGCCATTTTTCTCTGAGTAATGTATTGTTTCAGAGATTTCTACTTTTTTGAGCTTTTCGCTCTTACATACTGTACACACAAGTGGTCCCAGTGTTCCTATTGGCCTACTGCTGCTATCATATAAAGGAAGCATTACTGAATAGTACATCTGTATTTACTCGTAATTTCTTAACGACGCAAGCAGTTTAGTAATCCCATGCTTATGGAGAAAGTTTTTAAAAAACAGTGAAAAAAAACAGAAACAAACAATATAAGTCTAGTGCAGTATCATATGTTTCACCGGCTAAATTTTGGAGGCCTAAAAAATGTACGCTGATGGTTTAATAAAATGATACTACCGTCACTACAAACTTCAGTTTTTTTATTATTGTCGTCAAACTACCTTGGGGGGTTTTAAACTGTATTTGAAGCTATTATACTAATGATCTAGAAAAATTATCCTCACCGTCTTATGCTTTTGTGCAGGTGCTACGTACAGCAGTGGGGCATAGATTAGCAAGAGTTCAAGGTTTTTTGTTTAAAGCAGCATTTCTTCGGCGCGTCCCAACATTTACACGCTTGATCATAGAAAATCTTATGTTATGTTTCCTCCAATCCACATTGTATCAGACCTCAAAATACTTAACAGGCTCTTTAAGTTTGCGTTTCAAGAAAATTTTAACAGATATCGCCCATGCTGATTACTTTGAGGTACATCTGTTGCAGTTTTGCCTTTGCCTTAATTTCATTTTGTCTTCCTTCCTAGCGCACACATTTCTTAATTGCATCGTTTCCTCAGAATGATACCATGAAGAGCATTGTAAAATTAAACTCCAAGAAAAGTTATTTCCTAAGTTTGTATCTACCAGTGCACTAATTTGGTTCGTGTTGGTATTATGTTATAGATAGTGACCATTTATAAGACTGCAAGTGACCATTGCAGCAAAGGTTTACATGCGATAAAACACTAAAGCTGTTTATATAGTAGAAAAAAATCCATAAAATACAGCAGGCAGGGGATTCTGTTTCGTCGCCTACTCTTCTGCTAGATTTATTTAAGATGAATTCCGTTTCTATGATAGTCAATTACAGTATTAGATTGGTTTGTGAACAAACGTGTATACTATTTTTCCTAACTGGAATCAGCATGCTGTTTGCCAGTAATTTTTTCTCCCACTCTTTGTAGTGTCCTCATTTTCTATGTGGTGGATGAATTTGCCCACCACTACTTTAGTCTGTGCCAACATTAATTTCTCAGTAAGGCTGTGAAGTTTATGTTGTTTTCAGTCTTAGCAGCTAGATTGTTTCCTTTTCCTTGCTTGAACTCATGCTTTCACTTTTAGCACAGTCTAGAGGTTATCTTTTTTCATTAATTTAATGGTTCTCCTTTTTAAGTATAATCTTAACAAGACATCCCACACTGTTGTTTGTTATATCTTCAGAATATGGTTTACTACAAGATCTCACATGTGGATCATCGGATATCAAATCCGGAGCAAAGGATTGCTAGTGATATCCCAAAGTTCTCTTCTGAACTAAGTGAACTTGTACAGGATGATCTGGCTGCAGTTGCAGAAGGGTTAATATACACCTGGCGTCTCTGTTCTTATGCTAGTCCAAAATATGTGTTCTGGATTATGGTAAAATTCTTGTTACAAAATTTCAGCAGCGATACTTCATATACACATATATTATGTGATAGCCGATGATACCTCTATCGAAGCTGTTTCCTTAGTGCTTTTATAATGTATCAAGGCAACAAGTTTCTCACCCACTAACTACTAGGTACTATTAATATGTAAATGCTTTCAGGCATATGTGCTAGTTGCCGGTGGGGTAATAAGGAACTTTTCTCCTGCTTTTGGGAAGCTGAAATCTACGGAACAGCAACTAGAAGGAGACTATCGTCAGCTTCATTCGCGATTAAGAACACATGCTGAGAGTGTGGCATTTTATGGTGGTGAGAACAGAGAAGCATCTCATATTATGCAGCGGTTTGAGGCTCTTGTTGAGCACCTGAATCTTGTGCGTCATGAAAACTGGTGGTTTGGCATGATTCAAGATTTCTTTCTGAAGTATTTTGGTGCCACTGTGGCAGTTGTCCTTATTATAGAACCTTTCTTCTCTGGCAACCTTAGACCTGATTCATCTACCCTTGGAAGGGCTGAAATGTTGAGCAATCTTCGATATCACACAAGCGTGATCATTTCACTGTTTCAGTCTCTTGGGATCCTTTCTATCAGCACACGACGTTTAAATATCCTGAGGTACAGTTCTCCACCTATTTTAGAAATTGCTACCCTATAGATCTGAATTGTTGAAGGTGACACTTTGCTTGAGAAGTTACTGGATTATGCTGCATGTCATCCAATTAAGTTTGATTTTGTTTTGTGCCCTTGCAATTGGCAATGTGACACTTCTTGTTCCATTATTTCTGACAAATGCAAACTGAGAATAACTTTATTTCATGGAACCATTTTAGTGCTACGATCCGTTTTTTTTATGAAGAAGGATGAATCTCACTTCTATTTTTTGTTGTTTGATGGTTTAATATTGTTCCAAGAAGAAGACACATTTTGCCACTTTGTGTTGTGCTTTTACGGAGACTGGAAATCATTAACATCCTCTCCCTGATATGTTACCAACCTGCGCTTTTAGTTTTCAAATTCTGCCACTTATGACATTATTTTCTATTTGATTTGACCTGTTGCATGCTGTGTTAGGTGTCTTTTCTACATTCTAGTATACGAGAATTGCAGTGTCATTAAAGTTTTGCACTGATGTCCATCACAGATTTATGATTGTTTTGGTAGGAACCATACTTGATTTATGTTTGTTTTGGTAGGAACCAATACTTTAGGCATAGTACAGCTGGAGAATGTTGACTTACATGCAAAACACATTGTAACTTTGATTTTCTTTGGAATACTTTGGTGGAGTCCTGTGCTCCTTTTGTGTTCCGGATGCATTTTCTGCTCATCTGCTTTTGAGTTTTAAACTTTGCACTGTCATGATTGTGATGCGTATGGACTTTCAATGTAATTTCACAGTGGCTATGCAGACCGGATTCGTGAGTTATTGGATGTTTCACGTGAGCTGTCTGGGGTTCGTGATAGATCACTGAATCACAATTCTACTGGAAATTATGTCAGTGAAGCAAACCATATAGAATTTTCAGATGTTAAGGTAATAACATGCCGATTGAGTCATATTCATTTTTATTTGCTATTTATTTCCTATTTCTGATGTCAAATGGTTGCAGGTAGTCACACCTGCAGGTAATGTTTTGGTTGATGATTTGACTCTCCGGGTAGAAACTGGTTCTAATCTTTTGATCACTGGTAATCTTCTATAAAGCATTTGCTATTCTGACTTAACTATGAAGGGCGGGCCTGGTGCAAGCGGTAGAGTCTTACCGCCTGTGACCGGAAGGTCCCGGGTTCGAGTCGCGGTCTCCTCGCATTGCACAGGCGAGGGTAAGGCTTGCCACTGACACCATTCCCTAGACCCCGCACAGAGCGGGAGCTCTCTGCACTGGGTACGCCCTACTTAACTATCACGTTGGTTTCTGTGATGAAACTTGAATGGACTTATGGGCTGATATGCAAATTTATGCAACTATGTATCCTTAGCTTGATGTTCATTTCTATTTAACATGTTGTAGACCATTTGGGAATCATCTACAGCTATTTGATTGTGTGATAATGAAGTAGCAATGTTGGATATGATGTGACGGAAGTCTTTACATGTCTTGCACCCTCTTGGAG